GATCTGTGTCCTCATTAAAGCTGCGACTCCCTTCCTGCTTCCAGATTCTTAGGCGCATGTCTACTTGTAGGTATACCTCGGCTGACTCAATTCTGACAAATGGTCCCATTGACTAGTTGGAGGCCTAACTTAACTAGTGGCTTGTTCCAGGGCAGCTACTAGAACTTTGAACGATGTGAACTTAATGTAGCAACTCTGCTAAGCAATTAATTATAGGTTATCTCACAGTAAAACAGAGAACTTTCTACAAGAAAAAACTGAAGTTAAGTAATTTGTCTAAGGTCACACAGAACTTGTGAACAACAGATTCTGAGTTTGGGGCCAAGCCGGTCTCTCTCCGGAAGCTCTGTGGCACAGGGGGGTACCTGCTCCCAATAAATGGAGAAAATACGTAAACACACTCCAGAAAAACACCCAGGCGTCAGAACACTGAGCCACGCTTGGCCAGGGCAGAGAACCCTCAGCCCAGATCCCAAGTGCGCCGGAGCTCCGGCGATGAAGAGCGGGGATCATGCCCTTAGCAGCTGGGGCAGACGCCACCAGCGCATCCACAGACCCAGGACAAATTCCAGCGGCAGGGCATACAGATTTGGGGTGGGGGGCGGGGGTCGTGGGAGAAGGAGCGGTTGGCTTGCAGCAGATGGGGACCTAGGGGATAATTACAAATGAGCACTCGAGGCTGGTAGGGTGAGGCCCGCAGGTGCATCTCCGGGGGAGCCTTCCCAGGTCTGCCGGAGAGCGAGGCGGCGCGCCACCGAGGACCAGGTGCGGCGCCAAGGACGCGGGAGAGGGCGCTCCTCCGCGTCCCTTACGCCGCCTCCAGTCCGCGTCCCCGCGTCTCCGGCGCGTCCCCGCCGCCGCCTCGCTCCTCCCGCCGCCCCGACCCTTGCACTCGGGCGCGCGCTCGCTTGCCTGCTTCCTGCCGCCGCCTGCGGGGCCATGGCGACCTGGCTGCGGTTGCGGAGCTGCCGGGCCCCGCGCCTCCCGCCGGCGCCTGCGGGCCTCGGCCTGCGCCCCCGCGGCTCGGTGCCCGCCGCGCCCGCGCTCGCCTCGGCGCAGCCCGGCCGCTCCGCCGGGGGCCTGGCGGGCCTGTCCGCGGCGCTGCTGCGCACCGACGGCTTCGTGGGCGGCCGCTGGCTCCCGGCCGCCGCCGCCTTCCCCGTGCACGACCCTGCCAGCGGCGCCGAGCTGGGCTTGGTGGCCGACTGCGGGGTGCCCGAGACCCGCGCCGCGGTGCGCGCCGCCTACGAGGCCTTCTGCAGCTGGAGGGGCGTCTCGGCCAAGGTGAGCGCGCACGGGGCCCCTGGGTTGCCCCATAGAGAAACCAGCTGTGTCGGCTCCCCCTCCCCGATCCACCGGGATTCACCAGGCAGAAAGTCATAGGAACAGGACAGAGGTGATCCAAAAGTTAAGTCTGGAGCGTCGGTTTTGTCACAAGCACTATGCCAGGGGTTAGGGACAGGCGCCGCCCTCCAGCCTCTGAAATGTCCAGTAGGGGGGGCAGAAGCTGTGTGCTTAACATGAAATTACCAGCGAGCGGGGGCTCTGGTGAGCAGGGAGAGGGGCCTGACGGTGGAGGGCAACTGGGCGCACACACGGATAGCTCTCCCTGGCTGCTAGTCTAACACAGGAAGGCTCGTGGAGAAATCGGGCTTTGTGCAGGCCGACGACCATTCTCCAGGTTTCGGCCTGGATAGAGCGAGTGCGGTTAACATCTGCTTGGCTTGTGGACGGCCGTCTGTGCACGACCTGCCCATGTCCTAACCTCTTCTGGCAAAGACACTAGTCATACTGGATTAAGACCCACATCTCTGACCACATTTAACCATAATAACCTCTTCCAAGACCCTGTTTGGAGGTTAGGACTTCAACGTGTGAATGGAGGGTGGGGCACGATTCTGCCCACACATCAGGGCGGCCTCCTTGAAGACCGCAGCTGCAGAGATTAAAGAAGGGGCGGGAATTCGGCTGAGTCAGGAGCATGCCTGACCCACTTGTAGAACAGCGCCGAGTCCACGGCAGTTCTGAAGGCCGTAGTAACAAGGGGAGGCAGGGCTGGGTCCAGTGGGGGTGTGTAGCCGTCTTAAGGACTGGGGTTTTACCTTGAGGGAGGTGGGGCACCACTCCACGGTTGGGAGCAGAGCTGTGATCAGGTTTGCGTTGGGAAGGGTACTGTGGGCCCCCCCATAGAGAACAGGCTGAAGGAGGGGCTTGGTTGGGCAGAGGCCCGCTAGGGGGCTGCTGGCAGTGACCGAGGTGAGAGAGGAGGGCGGCTTGAACAGGGCGCTCTGCAAGAGGATCTGCTGGGACTGGAGAGTCAGCTGGAGGCCCTGGTGATGTTGGGGTGAGAGAAAGAGGGCTTCGGGCCAGAGCAATGGGAAGGAGGACCCACTGGCTGAGATGGGGGAGGGGAGGAGAACCTGGTGGTGGGACAGGTGTGGGGAAGCTCTTCCGGCCCAGTCTCGGCTTCAGTGGTTGTTCGGGGCCCCAGGGCTAGTGCGGGGACCGCTCACGGACGCTGTCCGCTTGTGGTCACATCACCCACCTGACATCCACGCCTCTGGAACGTGAACGTGGCGTCAGCCTGTCCCGGGGAGGCTTGAGTCTTCTCAGGGAACCTTCCTCCTGGGAACGACCTCGGAGTGTCTTGCTGAGGAGTGGGAGGGGCCTCAGCATTCCCGAGTGAGGCGGGTCCACCTCTGCGGCTGGAAAGGTGGGCTCTGGTGGAGCTCCTTTGTAAGGCAGCCCGGACCCTCCCCTCTTGCCCCCTGAGGCCTGTCTCCACCCTGCCCGCTGCTGGTTTGTGTTCCCCCTCCGGCCCCCTCCTCCAGGTCTAGCCCTAGGGTTGCGTCTGCCGTTGTAGGGTCAGAGCACGCACCCTGCCGCTGTCCCTGCTTCCCTGAGCTGCAGTGTGGGTCCGTCGCCCTCCGGGGACATGGTTTTCATTGCCTCACGTCTCTTTTTGCGTGCTTTAGGACCTCGTTTCCCACCTTGTGAACTCCTAGGGGATCTCGGGGATAGCAGCAGCCAGACACTTACCGCTCTGTGCCCTCAGCCGTTCCTTACGTTTCGCCCTGTAACAAATTAACACCAGTTTAGTGGCTTCCGACAACGCAGATTTATTCTCATACTGTCCTGGGGGTCGGAAGTCCCCAATGTGTTGGCAGGGCTGTGTTCCTTCTGGAATCGCTAGGGGCTTCCTTTCCTTCCCGGCGTCCCGCTCCGTCCAGCCTCTGCTCCTGGGAGCACGCGCCTTGTCTGATGCAGACCCTCGTGCCTCTCTTAAACGAGCCTCCTGATTCCACTGGGCGCACCTGGGCAATTCCAGACGCCCTCTTCGCCTCCAGATCCTTCAGTGATCGCATCTGCTGAGTCCCCTCTGCGGTGGGAGGGAGCAGATGCACAGGTTCCAGGGATTAGGACGAGGCCGGCTCTGAGGGCCTCCAGGTGCCCTCCACAGCCGAGTGCTGCTCTCGGTGCTTTCCAGGTGCTTTATCTAGTACTTTCAGTGGCTCTCGGAGGCAGACTTGAGCCAGGGTACAGATGAGGAGCACGGCTGAGAGGCTCCGAGTCCACCGTCCACCACGCACCCCTGCTCAGGTGGGCCCCGAGCCCCAGACCCCGAGTGCCACCCTGTTGGAGACCCGCGTGCTCTCACAGCTCCTCACAGAGACTGTAGTAGCTTTCCTGGGGTGTCATCACAAAATACCCCAGACCTGACGGTTTCAACAGCAGAAACATACTCGGTTCTACAGGATCGAGATCCCAAGTCGAGGGCTGGATCGGCCCCGACCTCTGTCCTTGACTTGTAGGTGACTGTCTTTTCCCTGTGACCCCCCCAATATCATCTTCCCCCTGTGCATTCCTGTTTCTGTGTCCAAAGTCGCCTTTTTAAAAGGACCCCCCCCTTTATATGTTGGAGTAGGGCACACCCTAATTTTAGATTAATAAAACTTTAAAAAAATTTTTAACTTTACATTTATTAAAAGTTGAACTTCACGGTAACTCGCTTGCCTCGGTCACATCTGGAAAGACCCTGTCTGTTGCCGTCTGAGGTACTGAGGGCTGGAACGGTGACAGATCTGTTTGGGACAAACACCGTTAACCCATGACACAGGCCGTGCATCCTGAGCAGGGCCCGCTGGCCTCCCTGATTTCCGGAGTTCGGCCCGGACATCGTGTTTCCCGCCAGGAAGCCGAATCTGCTTTGCCTGCCTGCCGTTCTCCCACTGTTCCGTGTTCTCCTCTCCTCCTCTCCCAGGTCAAGGGTGGGCTCCGTGTGGAGCAGGCCCTGGGCTCAGATCTTTGCCTTCTCGCTCCAGGCCAGGCCCTCTAGAGCTCAGCCTTTTGTCTCTCCCCCAGAGTAAGAACTGGCCTGGACTCATCAGATGCCTCGCTGCTCGTGCACAGGGCGGGCAAGGACCTAGAGCTTCGTGTGGGGAAGTTATTGTCTGTGCTGTTCGACACGAGTCTTTTTTTTACAGCTTATGACTCAATACACCCCTTCAGATGCAACTTGAAATGGAATCTTCCTTATTGCTTCTCAAAGAAAGGTCTGCATACCTGCAACTAACATGTTATAGACACGTCGCTTCTGCCCCAACCTAAAAAAGCAGAGGACAGGTCAGTGTGTGTCTCCCCGAGCCTGAGACCACACACACCAACCGTCTGAGGACACAGAAGGTTATTTAATAGTTCTGTTGCTCTTTTTCTTTCCTCCCCAGGAGAGGAGTTCTTTACTTCGGAAATGGTACGACTTAATGATACAAAATAAGGATGACCTTGCCAAGATAATTACAGCCGAAAGCGTGAGTTCAGGGCCCTAACTTGCTCCCCTAAGAAACTGTCCCAGGATGCTCAGGCTCGAGCAGGGGCAAGCCCGCCGCTAAAGAAAACGGGAATTCACGGCCTGATGATGCGATATCAACTAACTCTTGTGCCAGGCCTCACACCTGCCCAACAGTTTGGGTGTTCTACCCTTGAATGATATTCGAGAAACATGCATGGAGCTAGAGCCCATTCCACTAAGTGAAATCAGTCATTCTGAGGAAGACAGATACCGTAGGATTTCACTCTTACGGGGGATTTAAGAAACGAAAAAGAAAGAAAAAAAGAGAGAATGACTCTTACAGAGAACAGACTGGTGGTTGCCAGTGGGAATAGTAATGATAGTAAACTGAAGAAACAGATTTTGAGTGGAACTGTGTGAATAATGCTTTCCCACCGTTCCAGATTTTTTCTCTGCGATTGGTGTGCTTGACTTTTTTCACACGCCATGTTTGTACGTTTAAGCATGTGCCAGAAGTTTGTCCATAGCTGTAATCGTGGCTTTCCAGCAGGGTCCCAACACTGAGGAGATGTCAGAAGGAGAAACAAGTGGGACATCCGGGATGCACACAGCTTGTGGTCTGGCTTTCTGCCTGCACCTGTCCTGCTTTCCCAGGCTCCTGCTGGGGTCACACATTTCTCAACAGCCCCGGGGTTTTGTTTTTTTTGTTTTTATGATTTTTTTAAAAAGATTTTATTTATTTGAGAGAGATCACAAGTAGGCAGAAGCAGGCAGAGAGAGAGGGGGAAGCAGGCTCCCCACTGAGCAGAGAGCCCGATGTGGGACTTGATCCCAGGAGATTGGGATCATGACCTGAATCAAAGGCAGAGGCCTTAACCCACTGAGCCACCCAGGCGCCCCAGCCCCAGGGTTTTGTAAGGAGAGAGTGTCTGCTCTGTGCACAGCCTGACAGAGTTCCGCCTTTGTCCTGAGAAGGCAGCCAATGTGTCCTTTTCTGATTCAGGGGAAGCCACTGAAAGAGGCGCAGGGGGAAGTTGTCTATTCTGCCCTTTTCCTGGAGTGGTTTTCAGAGGAAGCCCGCCGCATCTACGGAGATGTCATCTACACCCCCACAAGAGACCGGCGGGCCCTGGTCCTCAAGCAGCCACTCGGGGTGGCTGCAGTCATCACCCCGGTATGAGGACGGGCAGACAGGTGGGGTCCCGGGGTAGGAGATGGAGTGGAACTGGGACAACACTGCCTTTTTCCTTGTGAGGAGGTGTGCTGCCCTGTTGGCTGCGTCACCTGTCCCGGTTCCTGGTTCCTTTGCTGTCCGCCGGTCCTCTGGGATACCCAGCTTTGGGAGCGGTGTGTGGGAATGCCGGCCTGGTCACACCTGCAGAGGTGGGACGACCCACAGCAGGACCCAGGCCTGTTTGGATGAGGTGTAAAGGCTGCTTTGAGGCCATGCCTGGCACTTCGAAAAAGATATATTATTTTTAAGACTGAAGCTATGACACATTTAATGGGCCATTTTATGCTTAATTGATGATTATCATCAACAGTAGGGTGTCATCAGTGTGCTGGCCCGGGTTCTGCAGGTAGTAAGTTTTCCAGATACAGCACCATGTGTCCCCGGCTGGAGCCATGGCACACTGGGGACACCCTGCTCTCTCCTGGTGGCCAGCCTCGTGTGGCCACTGTCCACGATGTCCCACGTCCACTCCTCTTGGGTGCTGGCGGGTCTCAGGGCTGCCGTCCTGGCCCAGTAGAGGTGCAGACGGACACCCCCTGAGCCTCGCCTGACTCGATGTGACTCAGAGCCCCCTGTGCACGAGCTGTGTGACCTGGGGCAAGGGACTTGGCGGCTCTCGGTTCCCCTGAAATAATGTCCTCGTTATTCCCCAGTTTAATAAGGGCCTCAGCGGGTTGGGATGAGGATTTCATTAATGATGATTTAAAAGGGCTTCCTAGCACAGCATGAGTACAAGACAAGGATTTGTCAAAATTTTTTAAAATGCTGTTCATGTAGATATGGAGATATCTACAAATACCTACCCATAAATAGAGAGAAGGAAGTCGTAAATCATCTGCCATTTTCAAAATTACCTTGGCTAATATAATCCAGCCTGATGCTGATGTTGTGAATAAAGAGTTTTATTGGGACCCAGCCATGCCCATTCCTGTACTTACTGTGGCCTCCTCCACACTGGAGCCACGGACTCCTTGGGACAGAAACTGTACAGCCCACAGAGTCTAAATATTTACCATCTGGCCTTTTACTGAGAAAGTCTGCCAATTCCCAGTATAGACGGTCTTGCACTGTTTCAGATTCTGGGGAGGTTTCCTGTCTTTATGAGCCCGTGGCTCCAGAGGTGACTGGTGTCAGGGGTTCTGAGCGCTCACCTGGGAAAGAGCGGGAGCACCGCTTTGAGAGCCTGTTTGTGCAGTGGAATTGGTTGACTGACTCCTTGACCTGCCTTGTTTTGAACTACAGGGCAGTCTCTACCCGGTCTCATACTTTCTCTGTTCTTCTGACCCCAGTGGAATTTCCCCAGTGCCATGATCACCCGGAAGGTGGGGGCCGCCCTGGCAGCTGGCTGCACCGTGGTGGTAAAACCCGCCGAGCACACGCCCTTCTCCGCCCTGGCCCTGGCCGAGGTGAGCCTCTCCCCCAGGTTTGCGCACAGCTGGCCAAGTCCGAGCGGGGTCATTTATCCAGGCCGGAAAGAAGCTGATTCGAAGCCTCCTTTGGCTGCATCTCATGCTGGATGTGCTGTGTGCTTTAATTTAGCAGCAGTCATTTTAAGTCTGATATTTTATTTTAAGCTTTTAAGTAGGCTCCACACCCAGTGCAGAGCCCAGTGCAGGACTTGAACTCACGACCGTGAGATCAAGAGCAGATGCTCAACTGACCGAGCCCCCTAGGTGCCCCGAAGTCAGATGTTTTAGAAAAAAACAATGGATAGGGGATTCCCTGACATAGAGACAATGTATATTTTAGGCTCCCTAAAAACATCACCTGTCCATCACTTTCATTAAGTCAGCAGGACGATGACTAAAATGTGGGCATTTCTCACATTTACGGAACATCTTCTTAACCTCTCCCTCTTCCAGTTCAATCGGCATTCAGTCAGGTCTCGCCATTCTTGTTTAAAACCCTCCCATGGCTTCTCTTGTCCCTCCGAGTGAAACCTGGACTTCCTACCTTGGCCTCCGAGGCCCTGTAAGATTCCACCCCTCCCCCCAGCCCTAGTCCCCCTCTGCCCTCACCCTGCCTGTCACTCCAAAGTCCCAGACTCTCAGCTGCAGCCAGTCGGGCCCCTGCCACTCCTCAGACCACAGCAGGGTCACCCCGAGTCAGCTCTACACCTACCTTTTCTTCTTCCAGAAAGTTCTTCCCCAAATGCCACCTTTCCAGGGAGGCTCTGCTTGGAAAATCACAGCCTCGGACTCCTGTGCTCCCGATCCCTTCTCTGCTTTGTTCTTCCCGCTGCGCTCCGTGTACCTGACATACCGCTGTCTCACTCACTGGCACGCAGAGCCCATGGAGGCTTGTATCTATTGGTTTCACTGCTGAATGCCAGCGCCTCTACGGTGCCTGGGCCCAGGAGGCCCTCAGGGAAGGTTTGTGGCAGGGAGGGCTTCCGTGAGAGCCATGCACAATGTGGGGTCAGTTTCTGGCCTCATCACCTCCATCCTTCCTGGGCCAGGACCTCCTCCTCATTTGGGTCCTTGTGCCCCTGTCTTTGGCCCTGTGGTCAGCTGGAGAAGCTTCCAGAAGGCAGAGGCATTTGCCGCGTTGCCTGTTCTGGGCTGTCAGAGACTGGATGCAGCTCCAGACCCAGTGACTAGAAGCTCCTGTCCTTCAGGGCGCTTCCCCCAACGGCACCTTATTTCAGAGGCAAATTGGACATTTTAGTCCTATGGAAACATTAACCGCATGGAAGGCTTCTTTTTGATGAGCCGTTACAGTTTTCCTTGAAATAATTCTAAAACCTGTGCGACATGTGTAAAGGAAGTTATTACTAGATTCCTGAGGCGTACACAGAAACAGAGTGAGCGGTGCGCTTCCTACAAATTCTAGTGTCCGGAGTCGGTCTGTGACCAGCAGACCCTCCTGCTTATGAGGTTGATCTGGACACACACATCTGTGTTGCTCGGAGAGGTGCAGGACGTTTTTAAAAACCTCCAAGCCTCATCCAGACTTTGTCAGACTTTGGTTTGGTCTCCTTGTGTCCTTTTATCAGGAGGCACAGCCAGTTGTCCCTGTTGTCATGACACTGGCAGGGCTGCTGGTCCATGCTGCTCATTTTTTTTAAGGATTTTATTTTTAAGTAATCTTTATACCCAACGTGGGGCTCGAACTCACAACCCAGGGATCAAGAGGTGAGCTTCTCTGAGCTACCCAAGCACCGCTGCTTGTCACTTCTGAAATTAGTTTTTCCTCGTATTTCTAATCTCTCCTGCGTTCCCTTACCTCATTTCCAGAATTTCTCTAACTCTGATTCATGTTGTTTTTTTGTGTCTTGGCACATTTTTTCCCTTCATAGTAAGTTACTGCTTTGATCTGTTTTGTGGGCATGTCTTCCTGGAATGCTTTTGTCCACGAGGATGCTTTCTGCTCTTTCTTCTCTTATTTTCCTCTATTAATAATGTCGTATGGGATCTGATTTGGTATTTTTCTGAGCATTTACTTCATTCTTTTTTTAACAATTTTATTTATTTGAGAGAGAAAGCGCACACAAGAGAGCAAGAGCATGAGACGGGAGAAGGTCAGAGGGAGAAGCAGGCTTCCTACTGAGCAGGGAGCCTGATGTGGGACTTGATCCCGGGACTTCAGGATCATGACCTGAGCTGAAGGCAGTTGGTTGACCAAGTCAGCCACCCAGGCGCCCCTGCTTCATTTTTGTACTTAGTTTTCCAAAGCTTTTGGCAGGAGGCCCATTCCCTAACTTCATGAGTGTCTTGTTTCCTTGCTCTGAGATTTCCTGGCTGCTTTCCCTTCCCTGCTTGAACCAAGCCTGCCCAACCCACCATGTTCCCAGCACTCCTCCCTGCGGCCCTGCTCTTCCTCTATCACAGGGTTCCCTGCGCTCCTCCCTGCGCCCCTGCTCCCCCTCTGTCACAGTTCCCAGTGCTGTTGCTCACCGCCCCCCCCACCGCCGAGTCCCTGCCGCACCTGCTCTTGGGCTGGGCAGTCCGTGGGCCGTTCTGGCCGGTCTGCCCCGGTTCCAGGGCGGTTCTCTGGCACCCGTCAGACGGCTTCCTCTACAGTTTCTCCTGCAGGTACTGCTGCTCTCAGCTGTCACCGGCATGTCCACACCCCCTGGTCAGGCAAAAAAGCCAATTGCCAAACCCCCGTTTTCCGAAACTTCAGAGGGAGGGCTGCCTGGCTCCTCATCTTAGCGGCGTGGCCGGCAGAGTGTGTGCCCCACACAGGCATTTAAATGGATGCCTGGGCGGTCAGACCTGAAGTCGGCCTGCGCTGCAGTAAAACACAACCATCCTGGGCCCCCACCACATCCTGTCTTGGAAATGTTGTCTCTGATGCTTTGGTTTGGCCCCGTAATTGCCCTATTTTTACAAGATGAAATTACTCTGCAACACTCTGCTGTTCCCGCCGTCTTCCCAGAATCCCCAGATTTGCACAGTGAGCATTTTAATGAGATTCGGAAGCTATCTTAATCCCAATATGCCCTGTCCAAAGAGGGCCGCTGTGGAAAGAGCGCAGGTTTCCGGCCCAGGCAGCGGTGGGTCCACATGCTGGCTCCGTTTCTCCCTGGCCTGCAGCATGGGCACGATCCCCCAACGAGGCCTCCAGGTCGTCACCACTGCCCCGGGGGTCCCCTGCGGGATGGCCTGCCCGCTTCCCCCCACACAGGTGGTGCTCTGGGCATGCTCCCCTGCACCCTCTCCCTTTGGTCCTTCTACAAGTGAACCCAAAACTTCTGGAACTCTCTCCAGACTTTTCTTGGAAAAGAAATCCAAGGGTTTTTTTGTTTTGTTTTTTTAACCAAAGTAGCATTAAAAATTTAGTTAATTAAAATAAATTTTTTTAAAAAGTGGCATTGAAATTCATGCTATAAAATATTTAATTGTGTAACAACACATTTAATATCACTTTAGCATGAATAAGGATCTTATTTCAGTTCCAAGTAGTTCCAAATGTATTCTTATTCTGTCCCCAAAGTTAGCTTCGGTTTTTTTTTCACTCCACGTTACGTTTTGGATTAAAACATCTATTTCTCTTTTTCTGTTTTTCCAGTTTGATCATTTGCTGCCCCCTGTTTGCTGTTTCTCTTTATAGCTTGCAAACCAGGCTGGAATTCCCCCAGGTGTGTACAATGTCATTCCCTGCTCTAGAAAGAAGGCAAAGGAAGTAGGGGAAGTACTTTGTACTGATCCCCTAGTGTCCAAAATATCCTTTACTGGCTCAACAGCGACTGGAAAGGTACGTGACTTAAGTCAGACTTCATTGACTTAAAACAGACGTCATACTAGTATTTTCTCTCCTATGGCATATGAAAATACTAGTTCATCTTGATCACCCTTCTTAGGGAGATTTGCAGTAGAGAGTTAAGAGGTCTGTGGGATAAAGTAATGTCTGATCACCGTCCGGAGACTTTTTGGATGGTGTCCCTTACCGTGACATGACAGAGGTTCCTCTCTGACGATCCCGAGGCGTTGGGGCAGCCACGAGTTCCCATTATTTGTTGCATGTGAAGTGGCTGAAAGCTCTCCCTTGTACCTCCTCAGTTCTGGAATGCACGTTCCTTTCACAATCTAGAATTAAACACATAACTGATGTTGAAATGGACCTCCTAGAAGGGAGCCAAAATTGTATTTAGTATAAAGGTACTTACAGAAACAGAAAGGTCTTTCTCTTTCCTTAAAAAGCTTTATAATTGTGCACTGAGCTGGCAAATCTATTTCTACAAACTATACTGAGAATAATTGCATTATTTTGAAAAGCAAGGAATTGGAAACCTAAATTTCCCACAGATGGGGGCTGAATAAATAAATGCGTGGAACAGCCATGCAGTGGAGTTTTATGCAGGCATCTGAGGGAATGTTCTAGAAACACGTGTGCTACCGTGAGCGTTACCCTGCAGGAAGAAGGTATAAGGTGTTATGAACATGTTAAGATGTTCCAGATATGTGCTTGATAGGGAAGATAAAGCAGGTTACAGAACTGTTTAAATCTACCATTCTGTTTTCTTTAAAAAAAAAAAAATGACATGAAGCTGTGTGTGTGGCCAAATTCTGGATCGATAGACTTTAAACTTCTATCAGTGGTAAGCGAAGGGTGTAGGCTTCTGGATGACTCTGTTATCTTCCCTATATTATGAATATATAATTTTTAATAGGCAGTGTGCTTATGTGGCTCAAGGCTCAAGACCGTGTAAACACGCTTAGGTTCAGAAGGCTCACCCCTGCCTCGACTCCCTCCCTTCTGTCTGTAACTACCTTTAGTTTCTTGTAACCTTCCTGCTGTCTCTAGCACGTACAAATGCATGTTTCTATTTCCTCCTGCTCGTGTGCAAACTAAGTCATCCCACAGACCGTGCTGAGCGCCTGGCCATTTCCCTGCCGGGTCAGAATTTGAAACAAAGGCTTAGGCAGGTGGCTGGGTCGTCGGATCTGGCTCACCAGGTCTGGGGTCTGCCCGCAGGTGCTGCTGCACCACGCCGCGGGCTCCGTGAAGAGGGTCTCCATGGAGCTGGGTGGCCATGCCCCATTCATCGTCTTCGACAGCGCCAACGTGGACCAGGCTGTAGCAGGGGCCATGGCGTCCAAATTCAGGAACTCTGGACAGGTGAGCCCTACAGCGTTTTCAGGGTGTGTGTGTGTGTGTGTGTGTGTGTGTTTCACAAAGTTTTTACCCTCTAATCACTCCTGGAAGGAAACTTGCAGGTTCCTTCCGTCATTCTTTCTTTGCTTACTTTCAGCAAATGTTTAGTGAGGGCCCTCTTTGCCAGCAATGTTCTAGCTCAGAGGGTCCAAAGAGAAATAAGGTGTAGTCCCTGGACAGCAAATGTTTTTTAATCAAATTGTTCTCTTCATCTTCCTGCTCTTTGAATCTGGTTATTTATGTAGTTTAACCTCTTTGGGCTTTTCTCTGAATGGGTAAAATCATCCCCTCAGACACAAAACAGCCCAAACAGCTAGGGCCTGAGGCCCACAGTCTTAAGGAAAAGAAGGCAGGAAAATGTTGAGATTGTTCTTGAAAAACTCAAAACGCTCTTGCCTGGGTCTCCCTGTCCCTGAGATGGAGGTGGCCTGATAGGCACATGGTACAGTATGCCCAGGGGGTGTCCAGGCTGTCATTGGAGAGGAGTGGCTCAAGTTCACACCTGGCATGACCTTCAGAGTGACCTGATACAGACCTCACATTTCACAGTTGAGGAAATGGAACTCTGGAGAGACTGGTTGACTTGGAAGTCCTAGATCCTTGGGTCATGGTCACAACTCAGTGGACTAGGGTCCTGCCTCCCAGTTTCTCTCCAAGCTGTTGCCAGGAACCTGACTTCTTACAAAATATTAAGTACTTTCTCTCGGCGGACCATGAATAAGTAGTTTTAAATGCATTCCAGAGACAGAATAAAAACTCCTGAAAGGTTATATTAGGGGGAAAAAAAGGTAAAATGTTGTATAATACTCTGTATCAGGTAGTTTTCATCCATCTTTTGACTTTGAGTAATTAATTTCTCCCCTTTTATATAACCTTAAATAAGCTTGGTTGTTTCAGAAATACCTGTGTTTCCTTTTAGAAACATAAAATGCTAATGGGTGTAACTTCAGAGTCACACTCCTAAAGCTACAACTTCAAGGTATGTTGCTTGAAGCCAATAAAAATGCGTAGGACACAAAATTATATCTATATGTATCTATTTACCTATAGTTTCTACTAGAAAAATACATGATTAAGAAAAAAAGACAAGAAGAATATCAGTGATAACTGCATTTCCTATAATATGGTTATATTTTATAATTTAAAAATATTAGGTCTAGGAGTGCCTGGGGGGCTCATTCGGCTGAGTGACCAGCTCTTGACTTCAGCTCAGGTCATGATCTCAGGATCCTGGGGTCGAGCCCCATGTCAGATGCACTCAGCAGGGAGTCTGCTTGAGGATTTTTTCTCTCTCCCTCTTCCTCTCCCCCTGCTCACACATGCGTGCTCTCTCTCTCTCTCTCTCTCTCTCAAATAAATACATATTTAAATATATATATATATATATATATATATATATATATTAGGTTTAATTAGGAAAAAATAAGCAAGAGTATTTTCAATAATTTAGGCTGACATGGATGAATGGTATTGTGTCCATTTTCAAAATGTCAGATTCAGCGAAACCCTGAACAATTTAATAAGCTAATGGATATAAGTCAGCCTTCGACCGCCTTCCATCCTGCCCCTGCTCTATTACTGCTGCATCCCTGTCTCTCATGGAGTTACAGGGTTTTTAATTCTCTTTTTTTCTTGCCCTCTGTTTCATAGTGGCTTACTTAGGCCATTGGGAAAAACTTGGTCGGGCGTCTTTCTCTTGTTCGCACAGATATCTGTACTCACTTACTTGTTTAACCACAAGGTGTGGCAGACATGGAGAAGGCTGGAGAGGAATGCACACTTCCTAAGTTTATCTTCAGGGCCCCACCCACATGGGGAGGAATGTGGCAGGTTGGACACAGGACGGGACCCACCTGGGGAAGGGTTCTCATATTCAGAGAGGTAGCAGCAGTCACACTTCTTGGGTTGGGTCAACAGCCTCTGACAAACTGTCCTGTGAATTTGGGTTTTTCTGTTTTGTTTTGTTTTTCCCCTCCACGTCTAGACTTGTGTTTGCTCAAACCGTTTCTTGGTGCAAAGGGGGATCCATGATTCCTTCGTGAAGAAATTTGCTGAGGCGATCAAAACAAATCTGCATGTGGGCAATGGATTTGAGGAGAGAACTACTCAAGGCCCATTAATTGATGAAAAGGCAGTAGAAAAGGTAACGTTCGTTTGATTTTTTTGTTAAAGTAAATTTCATGGTTTCGATATCAAAGGCTTAACTAGCAAAGGACATTTCGGTAAGGTGCCCAGCAAGTCTGTTTTGGCAACAATAGAGAAATCAGGAAAAAGTGAATTTCTGCCCATAAGTATAAATCAGGTGGCTTCATCTGCCTCTAAACTTTCCCAGCTCTGGGTTTACACTGAGTGCCCATGAGATCTGTCACTTTAGATCTTCTACTGCCCTCCCTAAATTTTCTGTGATCGTGATGATAATCTTATCCCTAGCTGCCCTAGGAATTAGGATCTTGAAAGACAAAGGTCTTTAATTTTTTGAATACCCAAAAGGAAAGGAAGACTCTTTTTATTTTTGAAGTCATGTATGTTTCAGCTGAAATGCTGGCTTCTGTTGACAAAAAAATGCCCTTCCTAAAGAGTCCTTGACAAAAGCATCCTGGTAGGGAGATACGGAATAGCAGAAGCTGCACCCAGGATTTACAGATGGCAGGAAAGGGAAATTGCTTTCAGGAAGAATCTCTTTGTTCATAGAAAGTCACAGTCTAGACAGACCACTAGCTAAGTGAGACTTGTCCTTGCGGTTTTAAAACATAATCTCCTGTTTTAAAACATAATCCTTTTTAATAAAGAAGATGTGGGGGGCGCCTGGGTGGCTCAGTGGGTTAAAGCCTCTGCCTTCGGCTCAGGTCATGATCCCAGGGTCCTGGAATGGAGCCCCGCATCGGGCTCTCTGCTCAGCGGGGAGCCTGCTTCTCCTTGTCCCTCTACCTGCCTCTCTGCCTACTTGTGATCTCTGTCAAATAAATAAATAAAATCTTAAAAAAAAAATAAAGAGGATGTGGCATATATATACAGTGGAAAATTACTCAGCCATAAAAAGAATGAAATCTTGCATTGGCAGTAACATGGACAGATCTAGAGAGTATGATGTGAGGTACGTCAGTCAGAGAAAGACAAATACCATATGATTTCTCATGTGTAGCATTTAAGAAACAAAAAAGATACAAACAACAAAAAAATCAGACTCTTAACTACAGAGAATTAACTGGTGGTCTGCGGGGGTGAGGGGGAGGCGGAAGAAAGAGCTGTGGAATAATTGTGTACAATAATTGCTGAATCACTGTCTCGTACACCTGAAACTAACCCAGCGCGTGTTAACTACACTGGAATTGAATAAATAAAGGGGGAAATAACATAATCCTTTTTAGAGTTGCTTACAAGGAACTTTCTAATAATATGAACACCCAGTATGTTCCTTAGATAAGTCTCTACTCATGGAAAGTCTACTAGTGGACTCATTGAGCAGATAAGCTGGAGGCTGGACTGTGTGTGAAGAAGGACAGGTGACACAGCCAGCCTTCTGGGTGTCACTCGAGGAACCAAAATTAAACTAGAGTCAGGTCAGCCCCCAGCTGGGACGCACAGCCTGCCTGGTGTTCGTTGGCCGCCTGAGGACCAAGACCCCCCAGGGCTGTCTGGCCTCAGTAGGCAGACAGGCCGGCTGAACCCACGTCTGTTGCCCCAGCCAGTGGGAGCCAAGGGGAGCATCGAGGCTGGACAGAGCCCTGTAGCTGTTGCCCTGGCATTGCCCTAGTAGAGAACATGCATTAGAGTGTCCATGGGCACCACCAGCACTTGAGGGGACTTTGGACCCTGTGACTGGATCAGCTGGTGCCCACGATTTGGGTCTGTATTAGCTGTGGTTCAAAGGCCCAGAGGGCTGGTTCCCAACCCATTCTGTGCCTTTTGCAGCTCCAGATGCTGGGTCCTACCCGAGGAGACTGGGTGTGGGCAGGGCCTCAGCACTGGTTGTTTTTGTTTTGTTTTTTCTTTTTTAAGTGCCCCCAGCTCTTGCTCATTTATTTGCCAGCCCTGGAGACCGCCGTCCTCGAGATTTTGTGGTTGTTGCTGAAGTGAAGGTGCAAACATTGCCCTGTAGAGGGTGCCGTTTCCCAGCACTTCAAGCAAAGACTGCAAAAAATTTATTTTGAGAGGGTTTAGAGAAAACACGTCCTCTAAAAAAAATCGACTGTGTTGGCTTTAGTATACAAACGGCCACAGGGGAAATTCCAGGGAAAGAAACTGCATATGACATTTTATATGACCAGAAAAGGGCAAAGCATAGAGTCTATTTGGGGGCAAAGTGAGGGGCCTTGTTAAATATGTTAAATGTAGTTATTTTTGGAGCTGTAAATCATGCGAAGTAAGCCACTGTGGCTACTGGGGATTAGCTGCAGACACTGGACTTGGCACCTGTAGGGGCAGGGGCTTAAAGAGGGTGGGTCTGGATGGTAGAATGTGCCCAAGCACGTTCCTGAAGTGCCATAGAATATTCCGCTGAGAATGGAGAAGAGTGGACGGCTCCAGTGGACCAGAGGTTGTGGACTTCTGAAGGCAGAAGAGATGGTGTTAACAGAAGTCAGCGAAGACAAGGCATGCCCCAGGGGAAGTGGGTGCCATTTTTTAGGGTGGGCCTATCTAGAACTGGCTGGGGTCCTGAGTAGGCAGGGGAGTAGGGGAGCCATAGTGCCAACTGGTTGTACTTTTGCACAGTTTCCGGAGTTGTTCCTATATCACTCGTCCTCGCAAGCACCAACAGTACACATAGGACAGCAGAGGCATTTGCTCTGGGCTGGGCTCCAGCTTCAAGAGTGAGGGTGGGTGTGACAGAACCGGGCTTCCCTGCCCTTGTCCCTGAAGTGAAGCCTCCCAAGTCAGAATACACCTGAGCTTGCCGTTGGCCCTCTTGTTCAGGGGAGAGAATGGAAACCGCAAAGGCCACCCATGTCACCCACTTAAATTAACCAAACCAGGCCTTCATGAGGGAGGTGAACAGTCCGGAATCATGACGCCTTTAGGGCAAACCCTCAGCGCGTAAGAGGAACAGTTGTCCCTCAAGGAAGAGGTGAGTCTGGGAGCAGAAAGGAATTTTCTGAGAACCGAGCAGCGTTCTCCGTGTGGTTTGAGCAGCATCGGTAAAACAAAAGCAGGTTCTGTGAAGATGAGGCAATGAGGATGAGAAAGTTTTTAGAAATTAAACACATGACGGTCAAATCTTTTTAAAAAGTCAGTAGATGAAGATGGAAGACAGAATCAAGAAGAACTCTTAGAATTTAAAGCAAAAGACAAAGATGAAAAATATGATAGCAATTTGAAAAGCAGATAATTAATCTGCGATGAGGGGGGTATCCATTTCAGCAACAGGCGCTCCAGAAAGAACCGAGAGGGAAGCAGTAGCAAATAAATAACATGAAAACTCAGAGCCAGGGGAAATCATTCTTCAGAGGGAAAGACTTTACTATTCTACCTAGTGGAATGAAAGGGGAAAAACCCAGCCACGTTCTGCTGAAACACCAGAATGTCAGGAACATAGAAGAAGATCCTAAACGCTTGGGGTGGGGGTAGGGGGGACAGGTACCCGCCAAGGAGTAAGAACTGTCTTTGAACATGACTTTCATCAGCAACACTAGAAATAGAGGCATGTGCTCAAGAGTTCTGAAGCAGGATGATTTTGGATCACCAATCCATCACTAACCAGTAGCAGGTAGGACGTCAGACATGCCTTGGAAAACTCAGGAAGTAGGCATTTCCAGTGAAACTTTCTCAAAACAGCCACACGAGGAGAATGTATTAGAACAGAATGAAGGCCGAGAGGACAGCATGGTGCCCAAGAACCCGGAGCTGACTCCAGAGTGCTAAGAACAAATCCCAGGAAAACCAGAGTGTCAGGCCCAGAAGGACATCAGGCCATACCAGACCCTCAACAAATTAGAGCATCAGACAGTGGAGAATCTAAGGGCAGAGGAAGGTGGCACAGGGCATGTCGTTCTCAACGTATTTTTTAAGAAAAAAAAAAAAAAGTTTTCTGCAGATTTAACACTCCAAGAGACTATCATCCCCACAGTATCTTCAAGCCAGCTTTCCCAAGCTTCTCTTTTTCTCTTCACACAGGTAGAGACACACGTGAGTGATGCAATTTCCAAAGGGGCCACCGTTGTGACCGGCGGGAAGCGACACCAGCTTGGAAAAAATTTCTTTGAGCCCACCCTGCTCAGCAACGTTACCGGGGATATGCTGTGCGCCCATGAAGAGACGTTTGGGCCTTTGGCGCCCGTTATCAAGTAAGATCACCCCGCCAGCGGGAAGACTGGAGAGGGTTCGGGCAGAAGAAGGGCCCCGGGAAAGGAATGCAGCTGGAGTGCTGTCTTGAGGCCAGGGGTGGGAGGGGGAGCTGCAGAGCAGAGCTCTGTTATGTCAGCTGAAAAGCCAAGAACTATTCATGGTTCTCAGAAAGAACATATATAACATATAACAATATTAACATATATAACATATAACAATATATAACATATAACAATATTATTACCTATTTAGATCCCTAAATAGGGATTCTTTCCTTCGCCTTCTTTCGTCTCACTTTGGGCTGAAGTCCATTTTCTCCTCAGTGGAGCACATACTCAAAAGAGTTCTTTTGAGGGAGTCAGTGGTTCTTAGGTGATGTTCTGTCTCACTTCCGGAGGTCGGTAATAGTTCACCTGGATGAGATTCTCGGTTCAGCGCTGTGAAGATATCACTACTTATCTACTTATTTCCGGGGTTGTTACCGAGGAAGCTGGTGTCTGTCTGGCTCTTGTTCCTTTTTCTCTTGGAAGCTGCTAGGATTTCTCACGGTCTCTGACATCCTGAAGTCTCACGGGTGAGGCCCATCACGCACGTCTCCGGGCTGTGGTCCTGTCGACTTCCTCTCGTATCTGAGCGGTCTAGTCCTGGGAAATCCTTGGTCATCGTTTCTCCAGATACTTCTCTCCCCTCCTTTCATTCTGCAGTGACCTTCTAGGAAGTCTTGTGACGGTGACACATCTGTGTCACCCCCCACTTCTCTTCACACCTGTCTCTTTGTCACACGTCTTCATCCATTCCCAAAGCCTTCTGAGACCCTTGGTCCCCTCCGCCTGCAGCCGAGCCCCCCGTTCCTCAGAGGCACGCACGCTGCTACCCTGCCGGCCCACCACATGCCTTCGGCTACTCTACCGTCCCTCATCTCTCCAGATCATTCTTTCCCATCGTGGGTTCTTCCCGCTTCATTATTCTCCCTTATGTTGCTGTGGATGCTTATCTGTTTCTTGTATCTTATTCTGTTGCTCTGTTTCCACCTCCTGCGGTGTGGCTTATTCTGTACATCATCCTTCTCCTTGTCAGAGCTCCGCCGGTGTCTTGTCATTTCCCACGTGGCCTCGTCTGGAGCTCCTGGAACTCTCAGCAGCCCTGACTAGAAGTGTCTGCCTTGGAGTTGCGGTAAAAAGCTTAGACCTTAGTCTGGGCTGCTTCCAATACATTTGAGCCTCAGGAAGGAAGCTTCTAGTATGAAGACCCAGTCTCAGCACAACTGCCCGTGCCCTGGGTATTCCTGGGGTTTGGCTTCCTGGGGTATTTTGTTGTTACCTCTGGTGTAAAGAGAGGCGTTCGAGGGAAGAGGCCTCTGGTTCGTGCTGTTTGCACGCGTTTGGGTGGACTCCCGTTCTGCCTGGGCCCCCCACCCTGAGCTGGCCCTGCTGCTCTTCTGCCCGTAGCCATGAGCCATTGGTCCAGGGACCCAGGTCTGAAGGCAGCAGCACCTGAATTTGCAGGCACAGTGGGGAGGTGCAGCCCCTCCCCCACCCCCACGTGCAGGCTGCCAGCATCCTGGCCCTTCCCACCCCTCCATGGTGGCCCCCAGCCCTCTCCCACTTGAGGCCATCATTCCTTGAGGATTCCACCACCTTCTCAGCCTCCAGAAGCGTCTTGTTTTGGGTGTTAGTTGCTGATTAAGGGTTTTTGAGCAGATTCTTTTTCTCTCCTCCAGCATCCGCTTCTCAGGGAGAGCTGGCCCCTGGCGCTCCCAGGCCGTCTTGTCTGGGGCAGAGGTCTGTCTTATCATACAGTTTCCCGGCTTCGTTACCATCTTGCCAATACAGTTGACATATTAACCCACCAGAAATGGAGCACTGGAAGAACTTTTGTCTTTGTCCTAATAACAGTTGTTTTACCTAGCATGTGAACTTGACATTTTCAAGGAGCCTAGAGGATGCAGTCGGTGGTGAACGGTGCAGGCTTTGGAGTTGAACTGGGTGTAGAATCAGGCTTTGCTGCGTCCTACCTGTGCGCTTGGACGGATTGACTTCTCGGAGCCCCAGGGTCCTCTCCTGGGAAAGGAACAGGACTAGTGCTTGCTCTGCAGAAGTTTCAGTTAACGTGGTGTGCACAAGGCACTACACCCAGTGCCTGCTAGCATTATGGTTGTTGTTATGTAGTTAAAGAGTGAGGTCGGAAAAAAAAAAAAAAAAAGAAAGTGAAGTCGGGGAGGGGGACAGGTTGTTACTAGTGGGCTCTGGTCTTACCACCCCTCTGCTGTGGGCACAGGGTGGCGGGCGCACAAGTCCAGCGTTGGCAGGAGGTGAAAATCCTCAGAGATGCCACAGTCAGTGCTGTGATGACCATGTGAGGAAGGGGGCGTAGGAACCTCAGCTGTGACTGACTTTCTGTGCTCCGGCAGGCAGGACGGCTTGTTGTCTGTCTGCAAGTCGACAAGCTCAGGAGATGGGGCTGCTCCGCCTCAGGACAAGTGATCCTCCTGGGTTGCCCCTCCTTGGTCTCTCCCTGGAGCCCTCTTTTCTCCTACCCTTCCTCTTGGGTAGACGGGGGCCCAAGGCAACCCCGCTGCCTCTGCCCGGTGCCTTCAGAGAGATGCCTGGCGTCCACAGCCAGCAGATCTCTGAGTTTAAGAATGGGGGCCGGAGAGCCCGCTGCCCCAGGAGAGTGCTTCTCAGATATTGTTCAAGAAATAAAGTGGTAAAACTGGAAGGGACCTCGTAGGGCTTTGGAAGGACCGATCCTCATTTCAGGCAGGAGCAGGCCCCCAGCGCTGCACGCGCAGAGCCCCAGCCCTCCCCCCTCCGGATGCCTTTCCGCTGCATGACGCCTGCTTCTCGGGTGGTTGCTGATTGTTACGTGGCCTCCGCAGGGAGCAGAGCCGTCATCCTTTTGGGAGGCGCAGGGTCAGACGTTCCGGATACACTGTGTTCCGCAGGCCTGCTTGCCTCTTGTTCTCGTGGAAGAGAGGAGCCAGCGTGTGGAACCGTGGGCTGCTTTCCTCTCTCCCCTGCCCTGGGGTCTCTGTGCAGAACTGCCATTTACCCTTTGCCACTATTTGGGAAACCGGTCAGGAGAAAAGATGGCTGGTTTTCCTTACTCTGGCCAACAGATTCTGCTGACCACGTGTTTCCCTCTGGTAGGTTCGACACGGAGGAGGAGGCTGTGGCGATAGCTAACGCGACCGACGTGGGGCTGGCAGGTAGGTGGTCCTCCTCGTGCTGTGCAAGGCTCCCGTTTCTCCAGCTGGTGCCAGGTGTGCCTTTGAAACATCACCCTGGGTTTTGAGGAGATGCCCTTGTGGGGTGTGTTCTATTACTTTCCGGGGCACAAGGGGGTTTGTGCAAGTTCACGGTCTGCCACCTGGTCCTTCTGTGTTTGGGAGCTCCCTGGTGAGAGTGGAGGGAGTTCAGGAGAAGAGTGGGGTAGCTCGTGGGGCAGCCCACACCCCACAAGTCCCATGTCATCTGAGGCTTGATGCCTGCAAATTCCAAGTCTTTTTTCTTCCATTCCACCTGGCTCCGGGCAGCCTGGCCCGGACTGAGGGCAGCAGCAGAGCGTCAGGGATGGTGGAAGAGTCAAGGGGCATGTGTGCAGACAGAGCCTCAGTGGCCGCCGTCCTCTTAGTTTGGAGATGGTCAGAGCGGCCGCAGCACTACCCTGTCACCCTGACATCACGACGCGCACACTGGCTGGACTGTCAGCAGTGGGGGGTGGGGGGGAGTACGGAGCAAGATGCTCTGTGGGGTCCCTTCCCCCATGCTGCGGGGTCCCCCAAAGCACCTACAGAGTTGTTCTAGGGCTCGGGTGGGGGGGCTGCGGCAGAGCCTCTGGGACACTGCACTCTGGGCTCCCTCCCTTCATGATGGGACCAGGGGAGCTGCACTAGGTCCTCAGTGATGGGCAGCGTCCTAATGATGCAGAGATGGGAGCAGAGAGGTTCTGGGCAGAGGGGACCATGGGAATTAAGAAGGAATGAGGAAAGGACAAGGACAGTTTGGTCACAGAGTTCAGAGAGGATGGTTGGTGAATGGCGTGATGGAAGGGAACGCTGAAAACGTTGCCCGAGTCCACACTGGGGAGGGTTCAAGTACCCAGAAGACTTTAACCTTATTTTATAAACAGCAGGGAGTCACTGGAAGGGTAGGGCAAACACAGCACAAGGACAGTCCCACCGGGTGGCAGAGTGTGCGTGAGAGACTGGGCCCCGGACGGCAGGACCTGGGGAGGCTACTGCTGCAGTCCTGCTGGGGGGTGAAGCGATCCCTCATGAGAGTGGGACAGGAGCAGAACCAGATGTCCCCAGGTCTGAGATGAAGACACGGACAGGACCAGCTTAGGGCCCTGTGGGAGCAGTGGGATTCCAGGCCCATCGCCCGTGGCTTCCTTGGCGTTAGATGGGATGTGTTTAATGGCTGTCCTACATATGTCCCCTATCCCCATGACAGGTTATTTCTACTCTCAAGACCCGGCCCAGATCTGGAGAGTAGCAGAGCAGCTGGAAGTCGGCATGGTTGGCATCAACGAAGGACTGATCTCATCTGTGGAGTGCCCCTTCGGGGGCGTGAAGCAGTCGGGCCTCGGGCGAGAGGGCTCCAAGTATGGCATTGATGAGTATCTGGAACTCAAATACGTGTGTTTCGGGGGCTTGTAGGGTTCGCTAGTTCTTTCAAAAATAAAAAAGGAAGCTAGCCTACATATATGGGGACATGCCATCCATTATTTTAAGTTAACTTGTAGGTGACTGGGATTAGGCATTTTTAAAGACTCATCCAGTGCTCATTATCTCAAGCAGAGGTGAATCCCACCCCTCCGCGGACCTGACTCGGGACCCACGGATGCCCCGTGCCTGTGGTGGCTTTCCCGCCAGGAACCAGCATGGCCCCGGGGTCTGTCACAAAGGCTCCATCACTGCCTGGGCGCCTGGGGGCCCCGCGCTCCTACCGGAGCGGAGGTCTGCAGGGAAGAGCCCTGGGCACAACGCGCAGGCCGGCGGGCGGGGCACAGTAGCCCCGGCCACCCGCTGGCTCAGCACTGCAGACCCCGCTGCGCGCTCAGAGGTCTGGACGCCCGGGCTGAAGTAATCAGACCTCTGAAACAGCCCAGAATGGCGTTTCTGTGGGCAGTGAAGGAGCACCTTTCCCTTTTCCCGGACCTTTTTTTTTTCCTTAGATTTTTTTCTTAGTAGTCTCTACACCCAGCATGGGGCTGGAACTCATGACCCCGAGATGAAGAGTCGCGGGCTGAGACAGCCAGGTACCCCTGGACCATTTTTTAAGTTGAAGGCTTCGTCGTCCTAAATACACTACTTAAAGATCATGTTTTCATTTCCATCCCGCGTTCCATCTCATTGTTTCCTTTAGGAAGCGAGCCTAAGCCTAAAGCAGAGCCCCGCCCCGCTTCAGCTGGTGGAAGGGAAGGGAAGGGAAGGGAAGGCCCACGCACCAGAAAGGCCTGACCCAGCTGCTCCTCCCCCACCTCCCGGCCCCACCCCGCCCCGGTAGCTTTGTTCTCAAAGACCTGCACTTCAGCACCCCTGTTCCTCCTGTGGACTGGAGATTCCGGGTATGCCTTACTTACCTTAACGGGCAGAAAGCGAAATACCTGCAAAAACAAAATCAGTGTAAGTACAGGGGCCGTTAGTAGTAGTAGCAGCATAGCCCTCCTTGGGCATTGAGCTGTGGCTTTGCCAAGATGGGGGGAGGCCGGAGCCCACCCGCTCTTCTACCTGTCACCTGCAGCCTGCTCTTCCTGTCCTCTTGGGGTGCTGCTCCCTCACCTCCAGGAGGACAAACACAGTCTCCCCACAGCGATCCTGAGAGGAAAACAGATTTCCATAAGGGCCCATCCACCTAGCGGAAGGGGTGTGAGGCCTTGAATGACAGGTACCCTTTATCCAGTAAGAGTTTTTACAGTTCGTTATTTAAAACAAAAATGACCGGTGTTTCCTGTCACTCTGAAAGAGGAACTCTGATTCGGAAAATTCGAGGCTTTTCTGGACACGTCTCCCGTCCGTACTCAGACACTGAGGAAAAGGAATCAAGGCTGTTCGTGGCTGAATAAGCAGTGATGGAGCTTTCCTTTCCCACCATGTGTGGAATCCACCGTCATTCCGTGGATATTCTGGGCGTTGGAAGGCGATCCTGAGGGCAGGTGTGCTGGGGAGGGGTGTCCTCTCCCTGCCTCTTGGTAGTTAGCATCGTTCCCTGTACCCCTGGGGAGCCAAGGTTAAGTCACTGTCTGGAATGCCCATGGGCACAGAGGAACTCTGGTCCTGGCGCTCTGGTCCTGGCGCTCCCTCCTGTTGGCCTCTCACCAGCCATCTCCCGATTCCCACCGGAGAGACAAGCTGACCTCCGCCTCGGGCCGACGTATCTCAGCCATACCCTGTCCAGAATCACATGTGTAGCATACTAATGGTTTCTTTCTTTTATAGTTTTAGGTGGTTTTCTATAACTTTCTAATTATTTAAGATTTGGATGTATCCATCTATTTACACAATAAAGATGCTGTAACATTATATGTCAGAAGTCTGGAACACGGACACCAGGAGGTGTTAGGAGAATGCGTTCACGTGTGTGGGTAGCTTGGTAAGCCAGTGGATTCCTTGTCTGGGTGGCAGACTGGGGTTTTCTTGCTTATTTGGCCCCACTGGGTCCATAAATCGAGGTCCAGAGACTCACTGCAATGTCTTTAATTATGTATATAAAGTGATTTGAGAAGGAACTAGGTTCCTGTTGAGTTAAACTGTTCTGGGTTGTGGGAAGAAAGAAAAGTGTCTCTAACTGAACATTTCGGGGGGTGGGTATTTTTCAGTAAGGTGACCCTGTGTGGTGAAGTCGGGCAGCGGCTGGCAGACGAGAGCTCACAAGCCAGACCCAGCCCACCACCTGTTTCTGTGTAGCCCAGAGCTAAGAATCGGTTCGTATTTCCAAATGATTGGGGGCAAAATCAAACGGACGGTATTTCATATCACAGAATTGTAGGAAATCCCGACTTCAGGTTCCATCCGTAGAGCTGCGGTGAAACACAGCCACGCCCACTCATTCAACATCAGATCCGAGGCTGGTCTCTCGGCCACACAGACCGACAGTACGGCCTGCAAAGCCCACAGTACGGACGCGCCGCTCACGGGAAAGGTTTGCCAACCCGAGGTGTGGTAGAGCTACTGACGCTGAGGGAGGTCTGATCTTCCTGCGTTTATCAGGCACTAGTTCTCTGAACACCTGTGTAAAAGGTACTTTCCTGGGCATTGCTCCAACGAGTTCTCACCAGGAACTTGCCAGCAATGATCCTGTGATCAGATGAAATTACCTGGATAACAGGAGTCTGTTGGCCTCGAGAAAACTACTCCATTCACTTTCCCCAGCGAGGCAGGGATTCGCATTGAAATAGCTTATCTGCACTTACCCCTTTGAGTGGCTTTCAAACACGATTTTTATGTCAGGCGTTGTTTTCTTTGATCCTTTATTCTTAGGGAGAGACTGTGAAAATAAGCATCGGAAGCACAATGCAAATAAATCTGCTTTTACTGTTAAACTGTTGGTTTTAGATTGTGCCACAGGCCTGCCTTCTCCAAAGGCTGCAGCCCAGGGTTTTAATCATTCATGTGCAGCTATGTTAGCATTTTACTTGAATAATATTGATGCTGTGATTTTCTGTGTGTGCTTTATTTTGTAGGATAAAACTTGGGAATAAGTTAGTGGGAAGTATGGGAACATTCTGCTTTTTAAATGTGCCTAGAACTGTTTTCCAGTTTTTGATAATTGTGTACGTGTATCAGTCTCATCAGCAGAGTTGTGCGTGTGTGTGTATAATTAATAAATGTTGCATTAACGGAATTTCCTGTTTCTGTGTTAAGGTTTCTGGTTGTGGTTTCCTCCTTTCCAGTTCATCATTTCTGTTTATACTGGATACTATTAGCCCAGTTCAGATATGCATGAAGAATAGCAGAATATGCTATCCCAAAGTATGCTGCTTTGGTATAGCAATTACCATGAGCTGAAGATGTCTAAAAGAAACAGATACTAGAAAAGCTCTCTGCCTACTTTCTTAAAAGCAGGACCTAATTTACACAGGTGCCCCCACCCCTGCAGTAGGAAGGATAAATGTTGATCCCCGGAGACAACTCCAGACCCTGTGGGCCTGGAGGGGCACCAAAGGAATCTACAGCAGATTTTACCAACTGGCTTTTGTCTCAGCCCTTGAAAGCCTGCAGATGCTTTCCTCTGTCCTGTCCTTTCTCCATAAATGTACTGCTCTTTGTTGAGGATGCTACGGAAGCCAGAGTTTCAAGCTGCCTCTCTGAGTTCCTCATTCCTTCCCGGGCATCTCTCCAGGACACCTGAGGCATACATGGTAATAAGCTCCTGTTTTTTTCCTCTAGCTGTTATTTAGCCAAGAACTCAGAAGGGCAGAAGGAAAATTATTCTTCCTCTCCTGCAGGTATAAATAGTGAATGCCGTGGGCCAGGGGCCTGCACGTGAAATTCTGTACCCTAGCATCTTCACAAAGATCTGTCTCATGGTTTGTGCTCATTAAATGTTTGCTGAATCAGACTGAAAATTTACATGGTTTGTAAGTGTGAGAAAGGGGCATTCTCCAGCTTTCTCAAATTTCTACTCACTCCACTGTTACCCATTATGTACTTTTCCTCAAGTTTGAGTTTTTCTGATAAAGTATGAGGAAGAAATTCCCTGAAATCCTACTATTTGGATATAATCACTGTTAGTTATTTTAACAATGTATCCTGTATTTTCACTCAGTGCTCATTATTTTTTATTATTAAGCTTTTCACTGGAAGAAAGAACTGTGCCACTGGATACGTGTTTCCCTCTGCCATTCCACTGAGTTCATGCATTTCTTTTCACCTGCTTTGGTTTTTTAAAAAAAATGAACCTATGGTAAGTATTTTATTTAACTCATTATTGAGGAAGCTGGTAAGGGCATTATAACCAGTTGAAAAGAGAAGCCAAAAACTCCTACAAATTTATATGGGTGAGAAACCTTGAAAGGAATGTCCAAATGGAAGTACAATAGCTCCTTCCACATGCAGGAGGGAGGCCGGTCAGACTCTCAAGATGCCAGAATCTGCATTTCACACTGCTCTTCTCTACAATGGGACAGGGTCAGAAAATGCATGAAGGGCACTGAATGTGGGAATCAAAGAACCCAGAACCCAGGAAGGCCTGCTCGATATAGATGATGCCTACTGTTCTGCTGAACCTGCTGTTGATTTTTTTTTTTTTTTTTTAAGATTTTACTTATTTGACAGAGATCACAAGTAGGCAGAGAGGCAGGCAGAGAGAGGGGAAGGGAAGCAGGCTCCCCGCTGCCTGCTGTTGATTTTTAAAATTAATTATCAGGAGGTTATCCACTTACCTCTCAACTTGAGGGTTCTTTACATACTAGGAATAGGCCTCTGCTTTAAAGCAAGTGTTACTTTCGTCTTCCTCCTATTTCTTCCATTCTCTATCAGTAAATATAAAAGCTACAGCTTCGTTCTTAGTTTAGCCTGCAACAAATTAAAAAGCAATTAGCATGGTTTTCATTGATGAAGTCTGGGAAACCTCTGGAAAAACAGCAAGTCCTGCTTCTCATCTAAGGGCACTGAAAGGCTACCAGCATATTCTGTTTTCATGTGGTATGTATAAATGAATGGAAATGTGTTTGGAAATTGGCAGTCTGAAGATTTACTTATCATCCATCCCTTTTTTCAGCTAAGTAGGAAGGACTTGCCACAGTGCAGGCCACAGACAAACACCCTGTCCTGGTGATGCAGGGGACATGGTTTTCTCAGCTGTTGTGTCAGATTAGGCAAGACTGTGTGGTTTCTTCCTGTTGTGCTAAGACCTCGGGCCTGCAACTCTGGGCTCGTCACCTTCAGGACAGAGGTGACAGTACTAAGTAGGCTTCAAATACAAGAAATTTGGCCATTCCCTAAACTCACCTCAAAAAGAGAGACTGCTCCTTTGGAGAAATCCTGGTTGTCGTCGTTGCTGACTTTAATGGAAGAACTTTTAGTCAGCACTGTTGATCACAAAGCTGGCTGTTTCCCCTCAGCATCTTCCAACTTTTGATCTTGAAATAATTACAACCTCATAGGAGGTTGCGGAAGCGGTGGATTCCTCTATGCCCTCCACCCGTCTTCCCCCAGTGCTCACCACCATACATAACTCCTACCAGGCAACTGACATCAGTATCATCCTGCTGATACAGGCCAGCGTCCCCAGTGCCCTGTACACTCCTTTCTGTGAACGTGTGTGTTACCCAACTTAACCCCATCAGTAGGAAGGTTTGTGTCACCACTGCCATAATCAAGATACAGAACTGTCCCACCAACACCACCAAGGAAATCCCCCGTGCTCTCCCTTTCTATGTAGTTGGCTTTGGAAGTGAAATCACTCAGCAAGGTTTCTTACTATTGGGTGACGGATATTAAGGAGGGCACTGGATGTAATGAGCACTGGGTGTTATGTGCAACTGATGAATCGTTACATTCTACCCCTGCAACTAATAATACAGTATAAGTTAACTAAATTGAATTCAAATTTAAAATTTTTTAAATTTCACTCACTGTAACATGCATGCCAGAAAGAGTACATAAGTGAAAAAGTGATCAACTTACGGAACCTTCACAAGCTGAGGACACCTCGTGACCAGCACTCAGAGGAAGAAACAGAACACTGCCAGCCCCCACCGGTGCCCCTGCTGGAATGACTAGCATTGTTTTGTTGGCAAAGATGTATTTATTATGGAGAGAGAAAGAGGGAGCAGACATGCAAGGGGGAGGGACGGAGAGAGACTCTCAAGCAGACTGTGAGCTGAGCATGTTGAGGGAGGTAGGAAGTGGCCAGCTGTGGGCCTGGACGCATGGTTCTGCGAAGGGCCAGGACCCGCTCCTCTGATGTCCACAGAAGCAGGAGCGAGGGGCGCGCCTTCCGCCATGGCTTTCTTGGCGCACACCGACGTCTCACAACAGCCTTATGACTTCTCCAACCATTTGGAAGCGTGAAAACCGCCACTGGTGCATGGGCCGCACAGGACAGGTCGCGGGCCAACTGGCCGACTCCCACCAAGGGGAGCCCCGCACAGGAGGCATGAAGTACCCCCCCAGCTCCGAGGCGGCGTTACAGAAATACACTTGATTTAGTCTCCTACGTGCTTTCCTGCCATTAAGACCTGGTCTGACCCGGGAAATAACGTACAGCACAGGGCGGCCTGGACCGTCCGGGACCCCCGTCCTCCGGCTGGCGAGCCTCCAGTGCTGCGCGCCTCGCGGATCTTCCATCACAAACACAGCTGGCCTCTTAGCCCCCGGGTCACATCCTCTTGCACTGACTGGTAGGGTCTCGTGGGCAGCCCTCCCAGGAACAAATGGTCCAAAAGGCCTGCCAGGATTTGCTGTCCACCAGCTGAGGGTGGGAGGTCCTTGTGTAGTCAGGGAGGAGGGTGAAAAGCAGGGGCTTGACAGCTTAAAAAACCTGCATTCAGTTCCCAGACCTAGCACTCTTTGGCTGTCACCTTGCACAAGGTACTTAACCTCTCTGGGACTCCAGGTCGTTCCCTGCAACATGAGAATAATCACATCTACTTTCCAAGGTTGACTGGAAGGACCCGATGGGCATCTCTAGTATGTGTATTACGCATATAAACACTGAGCACACGCTCGCTCCCGTCTTCATCACTGCACTCCATCCACCTGCTCTTCCGCAGTCCTCGAGGCCAGAAAGTCCTGGTGGCGCACAAAACCCCCCACTCTGCTCACGAGGCACCCCAGATACTGAGTTTATGAAGATAAATTCTGGCGTAAAAAACATCACACATTCCAGATAGCAGACTGAACTGACTAACAGTGTGGAAAGAGGAAACCTAAGCAAAGAAATTATGTTTTAAATAAAACAGTCTTACACTTACAGTACGTTCCCCAGAAAGTACAAAACTGCAAGCAAGATGATCTCACGAGGATAAATACGACCAGAGAGAACAAAAGCACTTGCAAGCTTCATTTTGTTCAGAGGGACCAACAGGAACTATCTTCTCATTTGTTCCCACCCTGATGGTTTAACACGGGTTGTTTAATCCTCTTGCTTTTCCACTTAATCGTGGTAAAGCCATCCCAGTTTCACAGAAACTTGTGTACCAGGATACTCTTCAGGTGTGTTCCCTCCTGAGGCCACAACACGGGTTCAGATCCGTGATGGGCCCCACCTCTACTCTAATCTCTCCAAAGAATGCTAATGGGCCCCTCCCGGGCCACCCATCTTGGCTGGGTAGAGAACCTACCTTAAGGCTGGGTAGAGAACCACCATGAGCCAGCCACCTCCGTAGGCTACGGTTCACCCCACGTCACTGCTCTGTGGCATTCTGTGATTGGGAATAGTTTTTTTCCCCCAAACATTCAAATAAGATTTGGTTAAAAAAAAAAAAGTTTAATATATTTTTTAAACATATGAGGTGAATGTCTATGTCAATTTGTCACCACGGAAAGAACCTGTAGGCCAATGATCATGAACATACCATCCTAATTAAGACAGACTGTATTTCTGATTTTGAGACTATATACAAAGTTGCTGAGTCATTATTCCTATCTATGGCAATCCAAATGCACGGCCTATGGACATGCTCAATAAATGCTCCATCAGTTAATAATCACTTTTATCATGCCTAATGTACACTGGGGCTAGGAGAGGCTTCAGGGTAGTTTTTTTGTCTAGAAGAAAGAAAAGGCAAAGAATGTTGCCATGCAACCTTCAACTTTAAACCTACAGGTCACTAAGCCCCCACGTCCCTTTCTGTGCCTCTGGTCCTCGTCCTGTGATTCTCACTCAGCTCTCGGATTCCCAGGAGCTGCTGTCCACAGAGGACACAGAAACAGTGGTTGGCCATAGCCAGGAATAAAGGTCCCGGGGGTTTCTGCTCTGTTCGGGTGTCTCGGTCAGCACAGAAAACTTGCTACACAGAAGACAACCCACACCTCCAATAAGCTATTGTAACAGACACAGCAGCCTTGGGACTGTGGGCGCCCGACCAGAGAAACCATGTCTGGAAAATCGTCCTTGAAGGCAATCACAGCTCCCAGGAGAAATGAGACTCTCTAAACGTGTTTAACTTATCTAGAGGTCTGCAGATAGTCGCAGGTGTCCATCCTTACTTTCACAAAGGTACTATAAACACTGTGCCAGCTACAAAGCACAAACTCTTTTAAGTACATACCTCGTATCTCACCCAAACTGTATCCCTATCAGCAAGCATCTCTGCTAAAAGAGCAACGTTAATGTTTTGTTTCATATCTCAAATGCTCCAAGAAAACAGATCTTTTAAACGCAGGGACACACATCCAGGCCGCTGTGAAAGGACCGTAATGCACGATTCTCACAGGAGTTAGCTCTGTGTGTTAACTCCCATTCACCAGTCCTGGATTCAGGGATTCCTGGGGGTAACCTTTGAGTTTACAGCTGCTTCCTTATCTGTCCTTTGAGCAATAGCTGAAGGGAGCGCCATTTCTGAGGGACCCATTCATGGAAACCTTTGGATTCCCTCTTTCCATCCTCTCTCTGCTGAAGATGGTGTCCTGATCACTGTCAAACTCCGACTCGGACACCATCAGGCTGGAGTTGTGCTCCGTGCTTCGGTGTTTAATACCTGGGGAGAAGCAGACAGATGCATCTTGGGGGAAATGGCCTTTTCACTCCCAGCTGCTGTTCTGGTCGTAGGTCCCATGCACCCAGCTGTGCTCTCTGCACCTTCAAAGCAACACTCACAACACGGCAGGGGCTAGAGGCCCTGGTGAGCAGCAACAAGGGCTTTGAGTCAGCCCTGAGCTTGAGCCCAAGCTTTGACACTTACCGGCTAGCTGTGTGGCGCTGGACAAGATGCCTAACCTCTCTGGGCTTTCAGTCTCCAGCACCATCAACACTGGGAGACTGCAGGCACGCACTCCACAGGTTCGGGGTGCAGACTCCGTGAAACAGTGCGAGTGAAGCTGAGGCCCAGCAGTTAGCACTCAGGAGGCGCTCGCTAAGTGAGAGCTGTTAGGGTTTTACGATTTGGTTCCATCAAAATATTTTGGGTAGAATATGTGATTGCCTGTGGTCAAACTAAGAGACAGAAGTGGTAAAAGACGTGACCTCTGCTCTCAGAGAATATCTATTATAGTATCTAGCTAAGTGTTTAAGACAAAGGGTTTAAGACAAAGACTCATGAGAAGACAGTTCAAAATAGGCATAAATGTTGAAAAATCAACCTCACAGGGATCAAGAACGGATACGCGCACACCGATCGGCCGAATTGCTTCAGGCCGGGATTTAGACAGAACCCAGGAGGGCGTGAAGTGTGCCGAGGGGCACCAGAAATACTGGGAGAAGCAGATGGCCCGGCCCTACCTGCCACGGGCCCTCGCTGGCTCAGTCACTCCCGGCCAGTGGCTAAGCTTTCCTATGTCTCAGTTTCCTCTACTGTGAAATGGGGATCATCACAGTACATGTCGCAGAGCCGCTGGCCGCCCTGGGATTAAATGGGTAATGTGCTTGGAACAGGATGTAGTACGTCTGAAACAGTTACAGTTACTGCTCTCAGATCTTGAGGGTCTGAAGGGGTCATCAGAGTGTTGGGGACAGGGGACAAGAGACTAGGCGAGACGGTGGGTGGAGTGGGAACAAGGCACCAACAATAGGTTTAGAGCCCGGCAGGAAGAATGGGGGTTGGGACATGAGAAGGACAAGGTTACTCTAGGAGGAAGGGGGTGACATAATGCAACCTGAAAGTGTGCTGAGAGGCACCTGGGTGGCTCAGTTGTTAATCATCTGCCTTTGGATTGGGTCTTGATCCCGAGGTCCTGGGATGGTTAGTTTCCCATGCTGACCGGTGAATAGTTCATTTATTTCTGTTCAAGTAGGAATATCTGTGTTTATAATGATAAGCCCTGAAGATTTAAATGCTGAATGTTGGAAGCTTAGCAGTTGCAAGTTTACACAACAAATGGGGCAACAGGCCGAAGAAAAGAAAGCCCAGAAGATATCGAGGGTAATTTCTGTCATTTGGCCCCTTAACGATGTTGGGGAACTTAGCAATGGTAGAAAAAAATATTAAAAAAATAAAGATCAACTTCCGTCTTGAATTTCTTTGACTCAGGGTTTTCCTAAAATTTTTGAAACCATAGTTAAACTTGAGGTAGCTACTCAACCTTTATTTTGTAGCAGAGAATTCTAGAGATAGCTATTTTCCTTAAAGCTTTCCTGTGTGGAAGTTTTGGAAGTTGACTCTACTTCATTAATTTTGTGGGTCTGAGATCACTTTTCTGCAAATGGCAGTAAAGCTGTTTTGCTCTTATGTCAGAAATCAGTCCCCACAGATCGGCAAAAGAGCCATTTTACTGCTAAACAGAGGGAGTTTTGCACTGTCTTATGTAAACACAGTTCATGTAAGAAAAATGTGAATTTCCAGTGGTACTGATTAACTAAAGCATTCTATCCAAAAATGCAAACAAAAATAACAAAACACAGATAAAATTAATTCTAATATAAACTCTGTTTTTGGCAACTCAGCACTGATGGCAGATGAGGTATCTTTGCATCTATGGTTATAAATTAAAGGCTAGATTTATACTTATTTTTATATTAAAACATTTATTCACCACCTGCTATGCGTGAAGGACAGTGGAACCTGATCACAGTGATGGCCTCGGGGCTCGAGGTTGACACAAGTGTGGTTTTCAGGTTGTACTCACACTATAGCTAAAGAAGGATCACTAGCTAATATTAGAGCAAGTAGTAATTTAGTGATAGGGGTCTCCAGAGGTTAACAAGGCCATCCATGTGCATTTTAGCTGAACCAATGCCTAAACATCCCCGTGGCTGAGCGTTTCCATATCATGAAACTGTTTTCATAGGGAAGAAGATTCCCCCCTTCACAGATGGTCTAATGCATGCTGTCAGTACTTCCTTTGTTGTGTTTTTTGTTTTGTTTTTTAGATTTTATGTATTTATGAGAGAGAGAGAGTGTGCACGATCAGGAGGGAGAGGGAGAGGGAGAGAGAAAATCTGAACCAGACTCCAAGCTGAGCCCAGAGCCTGATGTGGGGCTCGATCCCATGACTGTGATATCATGACCTGAGCCAAAACAAGTTGTTGTCGGATGCTTAACCAACCGACTGAGCCACCTGGGCACCCTAATACTTTGTTTTGACCTAAAGGCTGTGATGAATGAAACCCTTAAGGACCTGTACACACAAACCACTCTTCCTTTCAAAACTGGTGCAAGAAGGGGCACCTGGGTGGCCTGCTGGTTAAACATCTGCCTTTGGCTCGGGTCATGATCCCGCGGTCCTAGGATGGAGCCCTGCATTGGACTCCCTGCTCAGCAGGAAGCCTGCTTCTCCCTCTCCCACTCCTGCTGCTTGTATTCCCTCTCTTGGTCTCTCTCTCTGTCAAATAAATAAATAAATCATCTTTAAAAAAAAAAAAAAATTAAGCCCTCTGAGCTCTTAGGTCTAAAGCCGCTGTATAAAGCTGGTGTCCCACGATGTGATGAGAGGCGAGCGCACACGTGCACTGATTAGGTGTGTCCTCGGGTCCGTTTCCCTGCCAGAGCCCCTGGCCACACTCCCCGGACGTCAGCCACGCGGACCTCGGTGCTCGGCCAGTCCCGTCCGGGCTGCTGCGGGATCACCCTCTCCGGCCGGGGCTCTGTGCTCCCCTGGGCCTCTCTCCGTGTCCACGCGGAGGGCAGGCACTCAGCATTTACTACGGACGTTTTGCATCTCACGACTCTGAAAGTGATTATGTCCCTCTGAGAGGATGCAGTTACAAATGCAGCTTAGGAAGGACCCATACGAGCGCTAAACAGCCTCCGACGGCCAGGAAGGAGAGCCAGCAAGCTCGCGGGGTGGCCGGGAGGTGGCTCAGAGCATCGGGGTCTGCGCTTTGTGGCGACAGTGTTGTGTGGAAGCTGGGGTTCACCCACATCTGGCTAGTCCGCTAAGGGCAGGACTCCAAGCTGGAGCCTGCCGGTCATCTGGGCGCATCTCTCGGGGAGCAGACCCGCAGGGCACAGTGTTCAGAGGCGAGCTGGTGTGGAACGCTGTCACACGCCCCACACCCCCCACACCCCAACCACGAGAGAAACACCTGCTGGAAAAGCAGTCTTTGCCTGCGGGCATTCGACAGGGGCTCAGCGGACGCGAGGCCTCTCCGTCCCTCACCCGGTAAGGCCTCTAAGTGCGTCACCAAAATCTCACGGAATCTGGATACAACTATGCCGCCGTCGCCTCTCCGTGGGCCAGATGTAGGTGCTTCTTCCCGGAAACTCAGACTCACTGTTCCTTCCCCATTAACTTGCCGGCTCCCGCCCGTCGTTCCGCCTCCCACCAAGGCAGGGCTCATGGGCACCTGCACCCAGTCCACTCAAGGCCCCAGGAAGCATCCCACAGGCCATCTTACCGCGCTTGGGCCTCAGCTCCATTCTCTCCTGCTCGTCCACACTGTCCAGGATGGTATACTTGGTTTTCTTTCTTATTTTAGTCCTTTTTCGTCTGAAAGGAACAACAAAAAGCTCGACTCAGATTCTTAGGGAACCGGGAGCCAGGAGTTAAAACAGTAGAGGAAATGCTCGGCCTTGAGAACGCCGGGCTTGGCACCGGTGGGAACGCTGTGTGCACACGGCCAGGTCTGCGTTCCCGGCACCTGAGGCACCACGCGGGTCCTGAACACACACAGGAGCGGCACGGCCACACCCCCGGCGCCCACCCACCTGCGGGCTCCCGGCTAAGCCCGGGGCTGACGAGTCCAGGCCCCCGAGGGCCGTCCTCTCAGCACCTTCGTGCTGGCACAGCGAGCTTTCCCGTGAGTGATTCTTCGCTCAGAGAAACCTGGATGCCCACGCTGGCCCCCTGAACCTATACTGGCCTAGAAGGTCCAAAGATGCAAAGATGATGGAAACTAGCAACTAGGGGGTAACAAATCAACCAACCAGAAATATAGCAGATTCCTAAAATTAAGTGGCAACAACCCAGGATTTCATTTTCCACAACGCATGAGAACAACTGGGCTGGTCCTTTGTGTGTCATCCCGAGCTTCAGGGGATTATGTGAAAACACACCTCAAAGCCGTGGGGAGGTTATGCTGAGGACAGTTTTCCACAGGCGGGTGACTAAGAGCACGGGCCCCTGAGCCTTGATTGAGTGCTCACCAGCTGTGACTGCAGGTTCCCACCGGTAAAATGGGAGTAAAAACAGTCCCCTTTTGTACGGTTGCTGGGAGGACGGAATAGTGTAGAGAGCGTACCCCTGACAGAGAATGGCAGATACTTAATATTACTTACTAATACTTAAAATGGCCACAGTCAAACACTTTCTTCATCATCACGGTCATCTGCTTAATACATATGGCCACAAAACTGCACAGTGTGTATTTCTTAAATTTTTCATTTATTTTTATTTTTTGCAGAACTTTGGAAGTGAAGCACAGCAGGGTGCCCATGGTCCCAAAGGGCTCGAGAAAGCTTCCTGGGATTTAGGCCTCTGAGTGCCTGTGCTCCCCTTCCCCAGCCTTCTGCGATTCACTACTGGGATCTCCATAGGGAAAGCAATCGCAAATAAAACCAAGAAGATAATATAAGCAGTTTCAAAATATAACTATTAATTACGATCACATCTTTTTTTTTTTTTTTTAATCATTATCTTCTTTGGAGAGCATTTAGTGTTTTGTGTAGGATGGTGGTGTTTTGTGTAGGAGGTCTTCCCGGGACTTGAGCAATCACTGTCCCTACAAATGTCCTCACAGAGGACTGGGCACAGGGTTCTGGAAGATTCAGACCAGGAGGCAGCTCAGAGGCTTCTCGGAGGTCAGCACCCCCCAAAAAGGAAGAAGGAAACACCTAAAGCAAAATTCCTCTTCCATGATCCTACTGCCTGGATTAAAGTTTTGCATTTATTCAACAGGATTGAGATCGAGTCCACTGTTGCGTCACACACAAGAAGCAAAATCTAAATTTGCATTGTACGCTTCTAGAACTCCTCCCTCTCCTGAGGGCTGAAGGGCTACTCCAGGAGTGTCTCAGTGAACAAAGGTGAGACAAAGAAAATAACACTAGACTTGATACAGAATCCCTGAGCCTTCAGGGAAGAGGAAAGCTGCGTAAGGAAAAGCGGCCGCTGGGATTATTGCATTTATCCGCCCCACACCCAACATGGGTCTTGGACTCATGACCCTGAGATCCAGAGTCCCATGCTCCACCAACTGAGTCAGCCAGGCCCCCTTATAAAGGACTCTGAAAGCCTAGTTTGTCTTCATGTAAAAGTGATTGTCAAATGGTTCAGTAGCTTAACAAACCCAAGCCAAGGCTACTACAGCTGTCGAGTCCCATTTCCTGGTGTGTCTTTATCCCATGAAAAAAGGAGCGGCCACGTACCTCCTGCAGTAGAGGCAAAGCCAGGGCACGCCCCCGGTCAGCCCGAGGACAGTGAGAGCCAACGCTGCCACGTAGAACACACTCCACTCTGGAAAACAAGAAAGCCAGAGCAGACACGGTTACACGCTGTTCACAAAACAACTTTATTTCTGTGTTTCACGATGTATATTAGCGAGTTCTTATGACCAAAGGCCATCTGTGGCCTCATTGGTCTGGCTGCAGAGCATAAACAAGGTACAATATAAACAAATCAGGAACAACTTAAAAGTACCCTACTTTTGCCCAACTGGGTCAGGGACCTCCTGGGGTCTATTTCATGCTGACTTAAGGACAGAATTGTCAAAACCAAATTAATTAAAATGTATGCTGTGAACACCCATGTATGACACACCAAAATATTAATTCCATAATCACAAAAAGCACAGCTCTCCCCACCAAAATAGCTCTGGCTCAGTTTTTAAACAGGCAAATAAAATATCTGTCTGGCTGCCTAGGACACGAAGACACTTTTTAGAGCCAGACAGTAATTCACAAACTACCTGATCTGTATTCCTCCCACATTCTCGTACAAATCCAGTGTAAAAAGCTTTGCAACAGCAATTCCGGACAGAGAAACCAAGGGCCCAAAGACAAAGGATTAACTCCATTAAATACCTGCTCCTTGGAAAAACCATCCAAGGGCTGGCTATTTTCAAATTTCTCAGCCATATACGTCCAACCTGGATCCCCACGGCAACAAAATTACTCTTGGAAATAGACTGGCATTAAAATGGATTCCTCCCTAGAGGACACATCAGGGCACCGGCAGGGCCAGCGGAGACGGAGGCTCCCATTGTTGGTGCAGCCCCGGCAGACATCCCGGAGGAGTGGGCCTGACTCTGCTGTTCATCCACGACCAACAGGCCCACACCAGGAAACACTTCACCAGAAGGCCAACCGAGCCCAAGCCAAGGCAGGGGCACCCGGACAACGGCCCCAGAGGCACAAAGCAACGCTCTCAGCAAGGCTGGGTACAGTTAGCCAATTGTGCTCTGCCCAGGGGGGTTTTTATCAGGAAGTTTTATGGAAGAGCCTAGGTCCACAGGCCTGGTAGGTGTGGGGAGGATCTTAATTCACTCCTCCTTGGCTTCAGGTGAGGAGAGCGGAAGGTTTACAGTGGCCGAGTGGGGCAGATATTTCTGGTATTGCAAAAGGCTGTGTCCCCACATTATTCGGCCACAGCCACCCCCGCCCCGGACTCACCGCAGTTGCTCTCCCCATCCTGGAGGTAACGCTGAATCAGGTTCTCCATCCACAGCTGGGAGCACACGCAGCGCTTCGTGATGGGGTCACAGTGGCCGTGGCCTGAGCACTGCAGAAGGCAGCCTGCAAGAGGTGGGCGAGGCTGAGGCCAGCACAGCGGCGGGCAGAAGCGGGGCCTGACTTCCGCCCACTGTGGTTCTGCATTAGCTCGGCCCCGACAGACACATCTTGCCGAGTCAAGAGCCTCTATGGCCTAGAGGGGGCCCAGGGTGTCTCTCCCATCAGGAAGCAAATGGCAGAAAAAAAAAAAAAAAATCCACACCAGGTGACAAAAGCCTTAAAAATGTAGCCAATACATTTTTTTCCCTGGACCTCACACTGGTGTGACCAAGAAAGATGGCCTCTGGCCTAAGAAAGATACATGCTAAGAATTTATACATTCTAAGAAAATAATTGGGGATATACACAAAGATTTGTCTACACTTAGAGCATTATGTATGGTCCGCCTCAAGTCCCCGAGTAGAGGACTGCCTGAGCACACCCAGGATGGAGGGCTCTGCATCCCTAAGTACCCTACTGAGGGACAAATCGTCAAAGATTTGAAAACAATGATCGAGATTTGATTTGAGGTTAAAAAACAGATTAAAAATATTTATCCATTATCCCGATTGTATCACATGTTTCCAGAGATGGACGAACTGGAAGGAAATGCATCAGATACTAACGAAAGTTAGGTTTGGAGGGTGGGGATTCTAGGCTCAAGAACCTAGAGAATTAAGTTTTTTGCCTCTCTGGATTCCAAATTTCCTATAATAAGTAAGGCATTACTTTTGTAGTTAGAAAAAAGGGATTATTTTAAAAATTACGTTAGTGTATGTTAGCCTTACGCACGTCGATTCCGGACAGACATCCGACACAAGCTACACCGTACTGCCCAGCATCGAGTGTCTCTCGTGATGCTCACAGTCCTCGGCGCCTGCTGGAACGGCCGCTTCAACATCATGAGGGATTCACGTTCCTTATAAGGTCGTGACTGAGAACTTGGACAAAGACCACATTTCTGACTACACCCATGGTGCCAGGACAGGTGAGCAAGCAAGGAGCTTAGACGGAGATACAGTGGAAGGCACTCAGAAGTCACCCTGCATTTCCAGCGGTCTATGAAACACCACTGTCACACCAGTGTGAGGTCCAGCGGAAAAACTGTATGAACACAGCTTCTCCGGCCCCTACCACTGTCTTTACCACTGTCCTGACTGCTTAAATATGAAATTTCTGACAATGACCATTATCTGGAGTATAGTTTTAAAAACCCACCCATGACCACTGTTGGTCTTGCTTCCCTCAGAGACAAAGAGCAGTTGGCAAACGTGTTGGAGGAAGCCCACCATAGAACTAAACGTACAACATGTTTCTGGACGCTAACGTGAAAATGGTCACACCTCACTCCTCTTTCCACGCCAGTGAAACTTAGCCATGCCTGGCAAGGCTGAGTCTGATTCTTTTATAATATTCCCAGAGGAATTATCCCATAGGCATATTCTTGGAGGAATGAAGTTTGATATTTAATTTCTAATTAAATCAATATTGGACTTCATGCCCAGTCAGTCCAAAAAGACTATGTGACCTCACCTCTGTCCTGTCAGACTGCAAACAGATCTTAGATCCCCTCCCCCGAGAAATCTGCCACTTCAACCTCAATGGGCATTTAGGTTTCTGTAAGATTCTCGATGCAGTGAATTTGATGGGATGTTTTGCTCAGCGCCACCCAGTTCTGAATAGATAGCCAATATTTATATTACTTGGCCCCTAAAAGAAGGCACATTCCCATAGGAGACATACCTGCTGTGTCGATCCTCAAGACTTTAAAAAGCAAGAAATCAGCCTTCTCTTTTGAGAGCCGTCTGTGCAAATTTCGGACCACATCAGCAGCTTTGAGAACCTTGAAAGGCGGCCCACTCTGGATGTAAAACACAATGATGGTGCTGCAGAAGACAAGGGGAGAGGACAGCCACGCGGTCAGGTGGCGGCCGAGAGGACAGGTCTGCCCTGGCCCTCTGACCAGTGAGCGTCTTGACTGCCCCAGCTGGGTGGGTTGGCAAGGACACAGGGCATCTCTCGTAGGCCAAGGAACTGATCCGTGTTTATTCACAAATACAGACTCCTCATTCCCAGAGCTGTCTAGTCACTGGGTGACAGACACACCTCTAGATTAATGGGGCAATATGCTGGTGTGTGGAAAGAGACTCAGCCGTCCACAGGGCAACGTCAACTTTTATCTTGGACTGAGATAGAATTTACTTGCACCGGCACTCGCCCTTCTCAACGGTACCACTCCGCGGCATTTGCATATTCACTGCACTGGGCCACCATGGCCGCCATGGGACTCCAGAACATCGCCATCCCTTCTGGACAGAACCCTGTGCCCATGAAGGAGCGACCCTCCATGCCTTCCTTTCTCCGGACTCTGGCAACAAATCGTTCTCTTTCCGTTTCTCCTGGTCTGACTGTGCGTTTGCTACACACGTCACGCACGAGGCGCTCTGCTGTTTGCTATAAATGACACACACACAAGGCGCTCTGCGTCCTGCTTCTTCCAGCGAGCGTGCGGTGTTTGCGGTTTATCCGTGTCGTTCTGTGCACCATGACTTCCTTCCCCTTGATGCCAAACCCTAGTCCGTTGTACCGACATCCCTCACTGCATTACCCGTTCAGCCACTGATGACGTTCACACTGTCCCCCCTTTTTGGCTGTATGGATTCGGCTGAATGTGTAAATGTTGGTGTGCAAGTTTGTGTGCGGACACACACTGATCGTTTCTCTTGGATATGGACCTAGGAGTGGAGTCGCTGGGCTGCACGGTAACTGCTCAGCACTGGTTTCTACACCGGCCGCCCAGCTCTGCATTCCCACCAGCAACGCAGAGGGTTCCGATTTTTCCGCATGCTCACCAGTATTGGTTCTGGTTCGTTTTCTGGATTAGAGCCACCCCAGTGGGTGTGAGGTGCTTCTCAAAGGGGTTTCGCTTTGCATTTCCCAATAGCTCACGATCCAGAGCACCTTTTCATGTGCTGATTAGCCATTCCTAAATCTTCTCTGGAGACCTTTCTATTCAAATCTGTATTGGTTTTCGAGGTTGCCATTAAAACTGCCATGAACTGGAGAGCTTATCACAACAGAAGTTTATTTGCAGTTCTGGAGCCTCGAAGCTCAAAATCAAGGTGTTGTCAGGGCCATCCTGTCTCTGCAGGAGCTAGAGGAGAACCTGTCCCACACCCTTCTCGTGGCTCTCGATGGTGGGCGCTCTGTGCTTGCTGAGGCATCCACCTCACCTCTGCCTCTGTTGTCACATGGTCATCTCCCTGTGCGTCTGTTTCTGAGTCTCTTCTTATAAGGACACAGTCACACTGGGTGAAGGGCCCACCCTACTACAGCAGTATGACCTGATCTCAACTATCTCTGTCTGCAGAGATCTTGTTTCTGCAGAGGCTCACACAGGTAGTAGAGGTCAGGACGTAAATGTAGCTTTTGAGGAGACACAGCTTTTGAGGAGCCTACAAGTGTTTGTAGCATGAAAGGCTGCTGGATTTTATCAAATGCTTTTTTCTGTGCCTACTAAGATGATCATACGGCTTTTATCCTTTATTAGAGGACAAAAGGGTTTATTACATTTATTGACCTCCCCTGCATGCTTGGGAAAAATCCCATGTGGCCATGTGTCTACTACTTTTAATATGTTGCTGCACGCAGTTTTTAAGTATTTTTTTGAGCATTTCTGCTTCTATATTCATAAGGGATATTGGTCAGTAGTGTTTTTTTTCCCCTTGGGAATGTCTCTGGTTTTATTTTTAGTTCTTTATTTTAAAGATTTTTATATACTTGAGAGAACGAGCAGGGGAGGGGGCAGAAGCAGAGGGAGAAGCAGATTCCCCACTGAGCATGGAGCCCAACGTGGGGCTCGACCCAGAACCCTGGGGTCACAACCCAAGCCGAAGGCAGACGTTTCACTGACTGAACCCCCCAGGTGCCCTTCTGTCTGGTTTTCATATCAGAGTAAAAACTGACCTCCTAGAATGAGTTGAAAAGTGTTCCCTCCTCTTCTATGTTTTCAAAGAACTTGTGTAAGTGGTGGTAAATCTTTAAATGTTTGGTAGAATTCACCAGTGAAGCCATCTGGTCCTGGGCTTGGTAGGAAGTTAGTGATTCCTAATTTAATCTCTTCACTCGCTACAGGTCCGTTAAGATTTTTCATTTCTTCTGGAGTCAGTTGGTATAGTTGCTTCTTTCTAGGACTGCATCCATTTCATCCAGGTTAACTAATTTGTTGACCTGCAATTGCTCATAGAATAATTCTTTTATTTCTATGTGGTTGGTAGGATTACCCCCTTTCATTCCTGATTTTACTAATTTGAGTCTTCTCTATTTTCTTGGTCAGTCTAGCTAAAGGTTTATCAATTCCATTGATTTTTCAAAGAAATAGCCTCTGGTTTTGTTGACTTTCAGACTTGTTCCATTCAATGTTTGATATTTTGTAAGTAAGGGAAATGTGTGATTTGTTTTGATAAGTTCTATGAAAAAATACAATTTCCCTTTAACTTGGTATTTTTCTAAGTAAACTTCAGTTGTCCAGAAAACAATTCAGAGTGGCTGACAGTAACTGATGGATTTTCTGTGAATGGTAGGTTTTCTTTTCCATATCCTTTCTCTTCTCCCACCCTCCCCTACTACTCATAGACAGGATAAGCATTCAAAAATAAAAGCATAATTAAATAGATAAATCTTGTAAGAAATAAAGGCTGAAGGTTTAGCCTCCTAGACTCTCAGAAGACAGCAACGGTAAGCAATGTTCCCCTCACGCCGAGAGAAGCCTCAGTCCTGGAATGTGGGGCAGAGATGAAGCTGGCCGTGAGACATGCTGTGTGTCAGCCATTCGCATGACCTCCAAAGACAGCAGAGCTAAAGGACCTGTTCTGGCTGACATTTGCTAACTCCTTCATCTGGTACATGCTCAGTCAACATTTACTGAGACCTGAAGGAGGGACCTGGAATGACACTGCCCTTCCTGATGCCCTTTGAGCAAGAGAATGTACGGATGAGATACAAGTGTGTGCAAAACAACAAGCAAAGGAAAGAGACAGGATCCTGCCAGACAGGCGTACGGCGCACACCTGAAGTCTGAGTGGGCCTGGATCCTCTGAACCTTAACATCTGAGTCCAGCACATTCAGCAGGGCCGCCAGCCGCCTCACGAGGGTGTCCTTCTGCTGCTCGGTCAGCTGCCCCACGCCCACCTGCAGGATCAGTTCCACCAATGCACTCTTCCTGGGGTCTGGGAAAAGAGAGCACATGGGGTTTCCGCTTGGAAATCATGCTGGACGATGTAAGGAGCGAGGCCTGCACGAGGGTTTAAAGAGTTTAAAATGATCCCTGGTAACTTCTTAGGAGTAAGGTTGGACTCAGTTTACTGAACAGTACAGTGGCTGCTGTCTGAGAGTGCTTTCTCCTTGTTTTACCCAAGTCTGTGTCTATTAATTTCTTCCCGGAAGATAATCAGGGGCACCTAAACAGCCTGTGGGCTACCTTGAGATTTGGGCACTGCACACTTTTTCCTCAGACTATGCGGCGGCAGCTGCTGCTCTAGCCACAGTGACATGGGGGATACGGGGGTCCCTTGCCAGAGCTGCCCCTCTCTGTGCTCCCACACTGAAGCTCCCGTGGCCACCTCGCATTCCGACAGGAACACAGAAGTGACACAAGATCCCAGCTCACCGTTGTGGTTTGGAGGCTGAGTCTTTTGGGGGTAAACGGCGAACAGGAGGGAAAGCCGTGCCGTGGCTCTGGCCAGGAGCCAAAGCCAGCCCCAGGGGCCACCCCACCCGGGGGGGCCCCTGTCCACTGCAAAGAGCCCAAAAGCGGGCCGCCCAGATTACAGACCAGCACGTCAGCCCAGGCGCACCTGGCCGCACTTCCACGGTGGCTGTGTCCGTGTCCGAGGCCCCCTGACCATCAACGACTTGCAAGTGGAACGTGTAGACGCCCTCCACCAGATTGGCAAGCTGCAGGGCCACGCTGCGGTCGGAGCCGCCGATGACATCCTGCAAAATAACGTCCGTCGCCAGCCAACGCTCCCAACCTTGGGCCCCCTGCTGATCCCAGACCTCGGAGGCCCATCTCTTTCATGTGTGCATGACCGTAAGGGGCAGCCTGAAGAGGGAGACAGACGGCTGGCGGGTCAGCTGAAGAGAGGGGCTCCTCAGCAACTCTCCCACAGAAAGCGCCGGGGCGCTCAGATTCTCAGCCGGGAAGTCTGAGCTGCACTTACCGAGGGCCGTCTGTTCAGTTCCTCCAACAGAGGGAAAAACCGTTGACGTGAGGGTCAAGCACCCCTAACACAGTTTTACAATAGTCTCAACTTGGGTTCCCTCCTAATGTATCACATTTACCTTCTCAAATGACCCAAGAGCCCAAGGAGAGTATTTCTGCTCCTGGGGGTTCCCAGCTCCAAAGAATTAGAGAAGAACCCTGGACACTCCTGGTCTGCACTTGCTAAGAGAAGGGGACCCTAAGCAAAGGTAACACGTGCTCTGAAAGGAGAACCTTCATCCTGAGAAGCTAATCCCCCCCTAGCTGAAGAGCACTCATTCCAGAGGTGTTTCGGAAAACATAAAGCACGTTCAGTTCCCTCCTTGTGAAGATTTCCTTTATTATTTTTTTTAATTTTATTTATTTATTTGACAGAGAGAGAGATCACAGGTAGGCAGAGAGGCAGCCAGAGAGAGAGGAAAGGAAGCGGGCTCTCTGCTGAGCAAAGATCCCAATGCGGGGCTCGATCCCAGAACCCTGGGATCATGGCCTGAGCTGAAGGCAGAGGCTTTAACCCACTGAGCCATCCAGGCGCCCCTTATTTTTTTTTTTTAAGATTTATTTATTTGAGAGAGAGGGTGAGGGCATGCATGCGAGAGCAGGGGGAAGGGCAGACCGAGAGGCAGAGAAGCAGACTCTGCTGAGCGTGGAGCCCGACAAGGGGCTCGATCTCACAACCCTGAGATCATGATCTGAGCCGAAATCAAGGGCCAGACACCTGGCTGACTGAGCCTCGCAGGCACTGCTCCCCCAGCCCCCACGACCACTTCTTTGGTGCATATCCAAGAGCACATCTGTAACTCCGAAGTCCTTAGCAACAGCACGAATGAAAATGCGCCTACATTTATAGCCTAAGGAGTGGAGGGAGCTAATGGGGAGAAATGTCTGCCAGGAGCTAAAACTTGGGTCTGTCTGGTCTGATTAAGCATGACTTGGTTGACCTTGTCCAAGACATTTTTCATCTCTGCATCACGCCTCCTGTACTTGTGAAAGGGGAATGGCAATCCTTGGCCAACTGCCCCATCTGGCACAATGAGGAGAAAAGGAGAGAAGCCACTCGGACCCAAACAGGAACAGCGGGGAAGCCGAGGAGCAGAATGAGTCCCAATGGAGACTCCACGTCCAAGTCCCCCGGGCTATGGTTTCCTACCCGACCCAAAGTCTGGTGGGAAAACATCAGAGAGGGCTTCTGCCTTTGTTTGAATCTAAGAGCAGCTTGCTGCCTCCAGGCCTCCGAGGAAACCAAGAAGCATAAACACCTTCGTGGGGAGCACAGAAAGGGAGACGAGGCCCCAACAGAAATGCTGTCTAGCACTGAGCTGTGCCCAGGCCTTCACACTCATCTGCTGAAGCCCCAGCCGCTGGCGGGGCTGACTGTGCTCGAAACAGGGCCTGTGAGGAGGTAGGGTTACACAAGGTCACAGGGTGGGGTCCTGATTCCACGGGATTAAAGTCCTGGAAGGAGACACCCCAGACGGCCCTCCCTCTCTGCCATGTGGGGACACAGTGAGAAGTAAGACACCTGTGAGAACTCTGACCAGCAGCCAAATCGTCCTGAGCCTTAACCTTGGACTTCACGGCCTTCAAGACTGGGAGACATGTCTGTCTGTCATGGAAGCCGCCCAGCCTGTGCTCTTTCCTCATAGCAGCCCAAGCAGACTGATTCCGCATGATGGAAGTGGGACGACTCTGGTCAAGCACTCACCCCAGCGGCTGGGCTCTGGCCGTCCCGGACCCACAGGTAGGACACAACTCCCTGGTCATCAGTAGACCTCGAACCATCCAAGGTAATGCCATTACTGGGCAGCACAAGCACATGGTGGCCACCAGCATGGGCTCTGGGAGGGCTGTTGTTTGCTGCGTCAAAGACAGCAAAAACGAAAGCAGAGACAGATGTGACATGCAGGTGGCAGAAGTGGGCCATGGACCACCCGCGATGGCTCCCCCTTGCACATGTGTAGATCCGCAGTGTCCGAGAGGCACTGCTTCCCACCTGTCATGTAGAGACTTCCTTAAAGCTCGGTTTATGCATGGTTGTAATTTCGCAGCCTGTACCCTGGGGAGGTTTCTAATACCATGACAGTTTTCCTATTTTTGAAAAAGAGACAATGACCTTCCTTAACAAGGTCCAGAAAGTGAAAATATTTTAGTTTAAAATATATTCTGATTCATTATGTCCTGGTCCACACTATCTGGCCCCAGAAATACTTATTTCTACAAGTGCCACCTCTTGCTTAAGTCATTAAAACTTGAGTCAAAAATAATCAGGGCTTCACTCCCCCTATGGGGTGTTAAACAAGCACGAACAAGGTAAGAAGAGCCATTTCTGATACAATCACCTCAGGAGAGGGGGGCCCCAGAGAGAATGGGGTGCGGGGAAGACCAGAATAAGGCACAGCTCCACTGTGAGGACAAGGGAAACTGCTGTGAGGGAAATCCTGCCTGTTCAGGTGCCCTCTGGGACCCTACGTGACCCCTTGCAAGTCAAGCAAAAGTCATGGGGTAAGGATATCCAGACGCTGATCCAAGGGAGCAAGGAGCACCCCACCAATCACCAGTCACTTTCCTCCAGAGAAAACAGCCCAGAGGTTAGAGTAGAGGTACCTGGTACCATTAGCAGCGTTTCCACACTGTTCACCACACACCCCTTCTGGGATGACTTGTGGGGAGAAACTGGTGTTAAGGAGGCTTAGTTCTGCTGTGGACCACGGGGAGGCTGGAAACCACAGAAACAGACCCCGGCAGACTGCCTAAGCCCGAAACTCCTTCTGTGAGAAATGATTACGAGGCCTTCTCTTGCTTCCAGGCTGGACGAAAGCAGCCACTCCCTTCCATGCTTATGTCCCCGCCATCTTAAACACTGTCAGGAGGCTCCCCGGGCACTCTCCGGACAGACCATTGCTGCAAATCCGCTATGGCCAAACTCAAGTCCCCTGCAAACCCGCAGCCGCTCTTCTCTGGACAGAGGCCAGAGCACGGCGCCCCTGCCCACCCGTGCACTGAAATCACTGGCCCTGAGTCACCGAGACACCCACCGTCTTTCTTCCCCCCAGAACCACCGTAGCATCAAGTCCTGGGACTTCACCTCTAAAATGTCTTTCTGGTCAATCCCTTCGCCTCTGCCCTCCCTGCTGCTGACCTCCCTTCCCATCAAACCTTTTGTAAAATTCCAACCCTCTCAGGTAAAATGACATGGTGCGAGGGTTTGCTTTAAAATACTCCAACCAAACTAAAAGAAAATATGAATGGCTAGATGAAACAAGATTGGCAAACTGCTCACAGCTGTTGAAGCTGGGTGACGGGGACATAATGGTCCACTGAGCCTTGTTTCTCTGCTTTTACATACGGTTGAAAACGTCCACCATAAAACATCTGAAAACATCCCCATCTATGTCCTTTGCTGATAAAACTGCTCCAGCCATTCCCGCCTGGCCAGCGGATGAAGGCCCCCACCTCCTTGGCCTGACACTCAACCCTTCAGAAGCTCGGGCCCTCCCCAGCACCCCTGCATGGGGCTGCTCTGCCGTCCTTGACTTTCTCTGTCCAGCGCGCCCTTGGACAGCTCTGTGCTTCCACACATCATGACCCTGCGTTCATTCGCATGCGCATCCCTTCCTTCCAGCACCCAGCATTTGCGAGCTGCCATGAGCCTTGCACAGTGACACACAGGACACAGAAATGTCTGGAACAAAGGTCCTCAAGCAGAGTGGCACGGGACTAGACCACAAGTTAAGAAACAATATGGAACTCAAAAACATCTCTGCTCTTCGACTCCCAGTTTGGAGAGAGCATAGTGCCGTCATGTCTCACGGCCAGTGGTCACAGAAGGCTCACTCGACACACAAAAGGAAATGCTGTTTCTCCGCAGACGGAGGCTGGACACAGCAAGCGTGCACAGAGGAAGAATGGCGTTTTCTCCGCCAACCTCAGCTCGGCATGTGCTGCAAACTGATCAACAGCCGCGCTCCTGAACGGCCGTGCCTGAGGGTCCTGTGAGACGGGAAAGCAGGAGGAGCCCGCCCGCCGCGGTGCCAGGACTCACCCTTCCTCACGGCCATGGTGAGGGTGCTCGTGCCGCTCAGCCCCTGCGGGTCCGTCACGGTCACACGGGAGCGGTGGGCACCCGCCTGGAGCGCCCGCACGGCAGCTACGGCCTCATCGGGATCGTCCACCTGCCCGGTGCCGGGGCCTCTGTGAAACAGGGAGGCAAACAACAGACGGAGCGGGCACGGTGTTCTGACTACGGCAGGCACGGTATCTGTGTCCTTATAAAAGCCCCATTTTGCAGCTAAAACATAGCCTCCAGGGAGTTCTAAGATGAGTTTTTATCTACTTATATTCTCTAGTTCAGGTTGTAGGTCAAAGTAATGCCTACTTTAGACAGCCTGCAGGATTCCTAGGAAGAGGATTTGGGGGTTTTTTTGTTTTGTTTTTTAAAGAATGTATTTATCTATTTATTTTAGAGAAAGAGAAAGCACACAAGCAGGGGGAGAGGCAGAGGGAGAGGGAAAACCTCAAGCAGACTCCACACTGAATGAGGAGCCCGACGTGGGACTCAATCTCAGCTCCCTGAGATCGTCACCTGAGCTGAAACCAAGAGTCGAACACTTAACTGACTGAGCCACCCAGGCGCCCCACTGTTTTGTTTTTGTTTTTAAATTGAGCTCTCAATGAAATGATCTCTTTGGCAAACGAAGTCTTAGAAACTACTCCCATTTCCTCTGAATGAAATTAGGTTAAACCCTCATCTGTCTTGACAGAAAGTATGGGAGAGGAGGGGATGAGCCAGACCAGGGGTCACCTCTGGGGAATTACAGTGTGGTCATTAAGATCGTGGGCCCTGTCGTCAGAAAGACCCAGCTCCCCCCTTTCTGTCCAGACAAACCTAGGCTAGTGACCTCACCAGGCTCTGACAAGCAGAGCAGATGGTCTGAGTGAGGGTAGACAGGAGGCCTCATGAGAGCCTCACACATGTCTCCCAGCCCCTTGTGTGTCACGAAGCTCACCCACACCCAGACGGCCCCATCCACCTGGCATGGCACCACCTCCCCCTACTGCCAGTGAACATCTATCTTGTCCATCCACACTCGATCCACTCTTCAGCAACAGTGCTCCTGACTCTCCAGTGTGCTCGAGGTGAGTGTTTAATCTGGACCCTCCAGAGAGCAGGCAATGTTAGCCCTGGGCCAGGGGTGTGAACCCGACGGCTCAGTGGTAAGAAAGCCTACCTGACGTGCTCCCAATGGGAGAGGGCGATGCCCTGGTCGTCCGTGCTCCTGCTGCCGTCTAGCGTGGTGCTCTCCACCGAGAAGATCAGCTCCTTGTCGGGGCCAGGCACAGCCACCGGAGGCCTGCTGCTTTCTAGAATTACAGAAATGATGTGAAACACTATTATCTCTTTGCATGAAGCCTGTGATCCCCTGATTTCTTGATTGAAGCAAATTATTCCTACTTGGATCAGGGGGCTACTAGAGTGTGCGGCGTCCTGGGGAGAAACACTGCAGGCTCTTGGCTGAGCGAGGACTTCAGTGTTTTGGGATGAGATCCAGGGGATCCAGACCGCAGGAGATATTGTTCCCTAATACATACATGTTTGCTTTCCTTAAAAGACCTCAAGGGGTGCCTGGGTGGTTCAGTCAGCTAAGTGTTTGACTCTCGATTTTGGCTCAGGGCATGATCTCAGGGTTGTGAGATTGAACCCCCATCACATCAGACTCCACACTGAGTGGGGAGTACGCTTGAGCTCAGCTCCCCCCTCATGCATCTGTGTGCATGTGCACTTTCTCTCTCCAACAAACAAATAAATAAAGAAAAGACTCAAAAGTCACGGAGTCAAGAGAGAAGGAAAAGGAACAGCATGGACAGATACAGAGAAGAAGGACTAGGGATAGAGTGGGGGGAGGCAGGCAGGCAGGAAATGGAAGGAAGTGAGTCGACAGTTGCTTTTTCAAGCAGGACTTACTCCCTTTTGTCTTTGTAGCCCCAGTGCCTAACACAGGGCCTGGTAAATAATAAATGCATTTATAAACCATTTCAGTTAAATGTTGAACAATAGTAAATGATAGAAGGGACGCCCGGCTGGCTCAGTCAGTAGAGCACGTGACTCTTGATCTCAGGGTTGAAGTTCAAGTCCCACGTTGGGTATAAAGATTACTTAAAAATAAAATCTTAGGGGCGCCTGGGTGGCTCGGTGGGTTGGGCCACTGCCTTCAGCTCAGGTCATGATCTCAGGGTCCTGGGACCGAGCCCTGCATCAGGCTCTCTGCTCAGCGGGGAGACTGCTTCCCCCCGCTCTCTCTCTCTGCTTGCCTCTCTGCCTACTTATGATTTCTCTCTCTGTCAAATAAATAAATAAAATCTTAAAAAAAAATAAAAAATAAAATCTTAAAAGAAAGATTAAAAAAAGTAAAAGATACAAAGTATTGCTGATATTGATACCAGAACTGAAATGGTCAAATTTTCTGTTAAAAAGAAAGTCGCAGAGTCAAACACTGAAGCAGCTAATACTCAGTATCTCAACCACGTCCAAGCCTCACTGTGCTGCTCAGCAGAGCTCAGTGGTCCCCAGTTTCTCTTACCCTTGGGATACAACACTCACACGACCACCACCACAAAGCCCTTGACGTGAGCCCCTGCCTCTCTCCACAGCATCTCTTGGCCTTCTGATCCCTGTGCCTCACACTCCCTCGTCCTCACTGCTTTCTCTTTCCCACCATACTCTTCCTCATTCCTTCAACTACCAAACTCCCTTTCATTCCACGGCTTTTATACGTTGTTTACTTTGCCTAAAAACCTCTTCCCCTTGCCCTTCTCTCCCCAGATTCACCTGGCCAGCTGCAGACCTGAGCTCAGGTAAGACTCTGCAGATGCCTTAAGCCCAGGTAGGTGTGTCCTTTTGCAGGCTGCAGCGGTTCTATCTTCATCCCCTAGAAATGCTCGGATCTTGTGGTTTTGTTTTTTTTTTTAAGATTTTATTTATTTATTTGACAGACAGATCACAGTCAGGCAGTGAGGCCGGCAGAGAGAGGAAGGGAAGCAGGATCCCTGCTGAGCAGAGAGCCTGATGCGGAGCTCGATCCCAAGACCCTGGGATCATGACCTGAGCCGAAGGCAGAGACTTAACCCACTGAGCCACCCAGGTGCCCCGATCTTGTGGTTTTTCAGTGGACTTCCCCATGAGCCCTGGGAGGACGGAGACCAAGTCTTTCTTGTTTAATTCCACATCCTTGGGTCTAACCACTAACCTTTACTACATATTAACTGAATAAATAAAATAAATAAATGTATCGCCTATAAGTTGAATATATTTTCAGTTGCCAGTATATTGGACAGTGACCAGGATCAGCAGCATCTTCTAGAAAAGTTCTAAAGCAAAGAGCACTGTCAAGCAAAAACCTAACTACCCTTAAGGTTATTTAAATCTGCAAGAAGGCAGAGCCCTGGGTTTTCATGAAACCATTAACGAATTGGGAGCTGATCTGGAGTCAAGTGTCCATTTGGCTATGAACCATGGAGCTACCAGGCCACACATCATGACCAGACTCTTCAAGAAGGCCCTGGAGGTCTGCAGCAGGGTGGGACACGTGGGGAACTGTCTACCTGGCAAGTGGAGCCCGCGAGGGGCCCTGAGGATGTCCGTCTGGGTCTCCATGCCATGGTTTCAAGACACAGTTAACACAAGATTTTGAACCACAATAGAAACCTGGCTTTGCATTAAGAGCCAGCTCCTCCAGCCCCGATTTTCTGATAGTTAAGAGATTAGAGAATTTGCCTCCAAATTTGGCTTGTCTGAAGCCCAGAAGCCCAGGTGTCATTTCTGCCTTAATCTCTGGGGCCAGAGCCCTCTTCCAGCTCACCCACCGGGCTGGACAGTCACAGCGACCACAGCCGTGGACTGCTGCTTTGAAGAATCCGTCACCGTCAGGTGGAATGTATAGTCTCCTTCCTGCAGGGCAGACAAATGAAGGTATGGAGTCTTGACGCCCTAAGTAATAGCAAATAGAGATGAAAAAGAAAAATAGTTTTAAAAAGTAAGTAGTATAATGTAATGAAAAACGAATGCTTTTGCTAAATATGGAGATCCTGCCTGAAAAAGAAATGTGTGTGCCCCAGGAAAATGCAAACTAAAGGTCGGTGTGTATCCTCCTATGCTGCTGAAGCAGTATAAATTGATCTGGACTTTTGGAGGCCCATGTGGCAACATCCAGTGCCATGGTAAATGAGCACACTCTCCCCAGGGATTCTACATCTAACCACCTACCGTAGAGAATGCCCGTGCACACAGGAGCCTCACACCCGGATGCTAACAGAAGCCTTGGTGGAAACAGTCTAACTGTTCAGTAACAGTGGGGCACCTGAGTGGCTCAGTTAAGAGTCCAACTCTTGACTTCAGCTCAGGTCAGGAACTCAGGGTCATGAGATCAAGCCCTGTGTTGGGCTCCACACTCATCAGGGAGTCTGCTTGAGTTTCTCTCTCTCTCTTTAAATAAATGCACACATGCATACGTACATACATACATAAGTAAATGCTCATCAACAGGGCATGGCCAGACTCACCATAATACACTACAATGCTAGTTTGGGGAAAGTTTAAAAGAATAAGGTAGATTGATACATACTGAAATGGAGTGGGGACTCCATGCTAGGAGTGGAGCCTACTTAAAAAAAAAATGTCTGTAGCTGATAAATAACGAAATGCAAAGATGCCAAAGACATATCATCAAGCAAAACGAGAAAGTTGCAGAATGATGCACACAGGGGGGCAGATATTTCTCTGCGCACATATGCATACCCACAGAACACATAGAAAAGATTCTGTAGGATAGACATTAAACTGATAAAAGTAATCACCTCCATAAGAAGACTGGGGTACGGTCAAGGTGCATTTGTACTTTATCGGGAGTTAACTTTTTTTTTTAAGATTTTATTTATTTGACAGGCAGAGGTCACAAGTAGGCAGAGAGGCAGGCAGAGAGAGAGGAGGAAGCAGGCTTCTCGCTGAGCAGAGAGCCCAATGTGGGGCTGGATCCCAGAACCCTGGGATCACGATCTGGGTGGAAGGCAGAGGCTTTAACCCACTGAGCCACCCAGGCGCCCAGAAGTTAACTTCTTTTAACTACAAGAAGCAATTCATGAATTACTATTATAAGTAAAAATATTTTTTTCAAACTCTTAAGACAATACAATTTTTCAATAAGATTTTTTTTTCAATTGAGTATATAATAGCTACACTTGTCTCCAGGTTAATAACCTTTCCCTTTGTTGCTATCGTGTTGCTGTCAGTAACATTTCCGATTACTGCTTATGTTTGAGATTCATGGCATCATGGAAAGGATTTTTAAACGTAAATCCTATTATTATTTATTTACTTTTAGAAATCCCAAGATTGTCTAAGGATAAATGTATCTGCATGTGTTTGCTAAAGGTTTTAATGGAAAACTGAAAAAGAAAACTGATAGAAAATCAATTGCGTTATCACAAGGGGAACTTGTGAATCTTGAAATACACACTTTTAAGAACTTAGAGAAGGTGATTTTCCTTACTTTGAAATAAAGCAAAGTATTTTGCTATGAAAAACTCCACGAAATTATAATTTCCTAGTACTTACTTCACAATTAATGTGGTTACATAAATGCTTATGCACACGGTACAGGGAATGTTGTGGCAAATGGGAAGCGGGCAGAATCACACACATCCCCAAACACCCTCAAAGCCACCATACCCTCCAGGTAATAGCACTGAACTTCCCCCAGGTCTCAGCAGGACGCCCTACATGATGTTTAGACCAAGATTCCAGTTCACAGAGTCATCTTGGTGATTGCCCCAGTTAATAAAAAGATCACTCCTTTTAACATCTTCGTCGATCAGTCACAAGGCAATGACCTTGTTACTGTGGATAATCTCAGAGTGTCTGCTGCAGAAGGGTAGGTGTGGAGGAGCTCGGACACATGTCAGGCAGATGTGCATGAATTCTGGGATGTGAACTTTGGGCACACAATTCTCAAAAACTAAAGGAAAGAAAACTCTGGTTTTTTAAAAATTTTATTTATAAGTAATCTCCACACCCTATGAGGGGCTCTAATGGACAACCCTGAGATTTAAGAGTCGCACACTCTTCCAAATGAGCCAGTCAGGTGTCCCTGGACTATTCTTTTAACCAAGGAAATACAAAATATTCCATCCTTCTGTTTTGCATCCAAAGCCCTCTGAATCAGAATTCGCAGCCCAACAGAAGCAAACAGCACATACGACAACCCTTAGACAGAGGTGGACACTACAACATGGACCTCAAGTTCCATAAACCCAACCAGTCATTTTAAATTCATCATAATTGCAAAATACTGTCCAGAAATATCAGAAAGGAAAGTAGGTAAGCGTTCGTGGGATATCTGACTTCATCTAAAATTTTAACAAGAAACTGATGTTGGACAGATGAGATGGAATCTGAAGAAGTACAAGGTGGCAATATAACAATCTATCTTTTTCCCATTAAACTTCCAAATAGTAAAGAAAAATATCTGCATAGTCCTTGCAAGTAGTTTAAACTTCCAAATAATAACCTGAAACTAACATAACGCTGTATGTTACCCGGAATTAAAATACAAACAAAAAGGGTGCCTGACTGGCTCGGTCAATAGAGCATGAGACTCTTGCTCCTTAGGTCGGGAGTTCAAGCCCAGGTGTAGGGCTTAGATACACACACACACACACACACACACACACACACACAAAATAAATAAAAAAAGAATAAAGTGAAAATTGTCAAATAATAGAACAACTTAAAAATAGCAAGGTGGTTAGCAAAAAATCCCAAATAGTCTGGCCATCACCAAAAGAAGAACCAAATAGCTTATATACAGTCATGTGCACACATACCACTCATGGCAAAAGCGTCTATGATAGGTAGTACGTCTTTAGACAAATATATTTAAGATTTGAGCAAATTAAAATTTAGATACTAAAAGCTCTTAAAAAGAAATCACTAGATCCAAAAATTTCTGGATCTATTTTAGAAATGAAGTTTCTAAAAATGTGAGAAATAAAATAAGGAAAATTCCCTGATGATAAAGTTTATGTTGGATTATTTCTAAATTTTCTCCCAATAATAAAATAATATTTCTGTAGCAAATGTTGGGTCAGACTTTCCCCAAACTAGCTTCGAGATCAAGCTATCAACACAGGACCCACTTAGTTTCTATTCTGTGCTAATAGAGAATGGGTGAGGGGGAAGGATGTATGTTTGGGAGATCTATGACTTTTAGGTGTTCTTCTAACAGTTGTAATATATCAAACAATCTTATAATCTTATAATCATATATTTTCTGGATCTATACCACATAACAATAATTTAAGTAGATAGGAAGGTAGATAGATGTGTGAACAGTTTTAAATGGATGGACAGATGTACAGATGGATGGATGGTTGGTTAGATGAGTAGGTAGGCGGATGGGTGGATAGGTAGATCGATGGATGGGTAGTGGGTGGGTGGGTGGGTGGAAGGATGGATGGGTAGGTGGGTGGATGAATGGATGGGTGGGTAGGTAGATGGGTAGGTGGTTGGTTAGATGGGTAGGTGGGTGGGTGGGTGGGTGGGTGGGTGGATGGATAGACAAGTAAAAGTCTGAAGGCAGGATAGAGAACTTGCCTGCATGGCCACCTCTTTGCTCTCACTCCCTGGACCCAAGGACCACTCATAGACGACAATCTGGTGATCATCACTGCTCTGGTTTCCATTCAAAGTGATGGAGTTGTGGGGCAAAGTTATGGTCTGATCTGGTCCTGCATTAGCAACTGGAGGATGGTCCACAGCACTGTTGACTATGAGGGCTGCAGTTGTGGAGTTAGTGGCTCCATCCGAGTCTGTAACAGTCAGTCTACAAAAAGGAGAGGAAGCCATCATGCTGCAAGAAGATGCCAAGTCTTACGACAAATTGTCCATTTAGTCTGCCCACAATACACTTCTCAGAAAAACTCAGCAGAGGTGTAAACAGAAATTTGAGGATGAGTCCAAGAAAGAACAGAGCGCCTGAGGTTTTTGGTTTTTTGTTTTTAATTTGCTGCTGTTGGTTTATTTTTAGCTAGTAATACAGTCACATGATGGCATTTTCTCTTATATGGGTTTCTGACTAGTCTTGTGGAGATGCCAGATGAAGAAGTCTTCCTCAACCAACACGGGAGCCTCCCTCTAGTACCTGAGACAAAGAATGTGTTGGGTTTAGGTCCTGCCTTCAGGTCTGAGCACATGGAGATGGTACATTACTCATCAATTTTCATCTACAAAGCTTTTGAATTTTTTTATTCTAGAGGACTTAATACAATCATGCTTTCAGAACACTCCCTGCAGATACTCCTTGAGGACCTCCTATGGTAAACTCACTGCTGATGAGGTCACAGATCAGGAAATATGATCACTTCATCCGTCTGGGGTAAAGATGCCAGTTCTGAACAGTGATGAAGTCTACACAGGTGTTAATAGGAATATGACAATGAAGCTATGGGAAGAACACAGGCCTTACGTGAAGTGAGGTCTGTGTATGGGGCATGTGCATTCTGTGTATCCTTTCACACTATCCCACACACTCCATACAACCAAGATCCAAACTCTGGTTCTGGCTCTGACAGCAAACCAAGCATCTGAGGTCGTTTCTCCTCAGCCAGGCTGTCAAGACACATCCCAGACCCCTAAGGGAATTTCTTCATGGTTAAATGGGGACAGCAGCAGTAACTTGACTCAACCAGATGATGAATTAAATAAAAAGGAAATGGGGAGGAGTTAAGATGGCAGAGGGGTAAGGGTACCTTATGCTTGCCTTGTCACTTGAACATAGCCAGGTAAATATCAAATCATTCTCAACACCCAGGAAATCAATCTGAGGGCTGAGAGGACAAACTGCCCAACAAGAGGGAGAAGAGAGGTCACATCTTGGAAGGTAGGAGGTGCAGAGATGTGATGTGGGGGAGAAAAGAATCTTGGGTGCTGCAGAGGGTAGGGAGCCCTGATCACAGAGGGGGTAGGGAGAGAGAGAGAGAGAGCGCGCGCGCAGCGCACAGGAGTTTGAACAAGAAAAACGCTTCCCCAAAGCCAATGACTGGGAAAACGAGAGAGGCTGCTTATTGTGAGTTTTTACAATTAACGGAGCTCGAAGACTGAAGTTTTAGAAGTCTGCCTACAGCCAGAGTGGAGCCTGGGGGCACAGCGGTGCTCCTGTGGAGGAGGCCAGAGGCCCAGGAGTGGGCAGTGTGGTCTGAGGACCCCCTGCATCGCACTGGGAGGGAGAACCCCCCCTTCTTGGAGTGCACTTGGGAGAGGCGGCACTGCCTCGAAAGGGACAAAGAGATGGTGGGTGCCACTGCACTGCCCCACTCATTAGCACAGGGGCAGAGGCACCTGCTGATGGCAGCTAACCTGGATGCCAGCTCTTTGCTGTGCTTTACTCCAAACCCCAAGCACCTGTACATTCCTGCAACTGCCCTCCTGGGACAAACCCCTACCAGCCCCAGTGCCCCAAGACCCCCCTCCAGAGGATCATCGTGGGTCCTGGCAGTGCTGAGTCCCCAAAATTTGGAGTTTTGAAACTGCCAGGTGCCAGAAGTAAACATAGAAGCAATGTGCCACTAGGTGGGCAGACAGCTCTGACGCAGACACGGTGAAGGCAGAAATCTGAGGGATACCTGGCACATGAGGGGAGATTCTTCATTCTGTGTGGGCTTACTGAACAGTGGGGTGCAAATTCACCTGTTGCGGACCAAAGGAAAGGGTAGATACCATTTTTTTTCCTCCACCCAACAGCACCACTGGATTTCAGTGAGCAACAGAGTGCCTCCCTCCTCGTCCCCCACCCCCCACTGCCAGGGAAGGCTGGAGCCACTTACACCAAGCCCCACCCCCTGCCCTCTGCAGGTGCTTCAATGCTAGAGCAAGTATGCCCAAGAGTCAGGGCAGCAGGTCTCTCCCGCAGAAAACCAGCACAAATTCCCCGTATGTACCAAATCCACTGATCAGAGCTCTGCAAAGCTGCAGCTCTACTGGAAACAGGATCTGGCCTTTTTTAACAAGCAGATCAAAGCATACCTAGTTAAAACTTGACACACACTGGACAAAGTCCAAACACTCCTTAGTGCCGGCAAAGAAAAACTCAGCAGAGGGCTTACCTGGGGGAAAGAGAAGCCAAAATACAGCAGCAGAGTGCATGTAGCACAGACCAGACACACTTTCTGAAGCACCAGGCCCTGGACAGTACATGACCTCTTCTTACAAAGCCATTACTCTCAGGAGCAGGAAACATAACAGGCTTTCCTAACACAAAGAAGAAGATACAGACCTAGCCAAAAATGCCAAGACAGAGGAATTCATCCCAAAAAAAAGAACAAGAAAGGGACATGGCCACAATCTAATCAATATAGAAACAAACAATATGCCTGATCCAGAATTGAAAACAACAATCATAAGGATACTAGCTGGGCTTGAGAAAAGTATAGACTATATCTGGGAATCCCTTACCACAGACATAAAAGACCTAAAAACTACTCAGGCCAAAATAAAAAATGCTATAACTGAAATGCAAAACTGACTAGATGAAATGACCACAAGGATGGAAAAAGCAGAGGAGAGAATAGGTGACATAAAAGACAAAATTATGGAAAATAATGAAGCTGAAAAGAAGAGGGAAAGAAATATATTAGATCATGAATGTAGACATACAGAGCTCAGCAACTCCATGAAGCACATTATCATTTCACATCATAGGAGTCCCCTAAGAAGAAGAGTGGGAAAGGGGACACAACGTTTATCTGAGGAAATTATAGCTGAAGACTCCCCTAATCTGTGGAAAGAAAAATACATCCGATCCAGGAGGCACAGAGAACTCCCATCAAAATCAAGAAGAGCAGACCAACACTAAGATATATCACAGTAAAATTTGCAAAATACAGAGATAAAGAAAAAATCCTAAAAGCAGCAAGGGAAAAGAAATCTCTAACATACAAGGGAAGACAAATATGGTTAGCAGCAGATCTACCCATAGAAACTTGGCAGGCCAGAAGAGAGCAGCATGATACATTCAACATGCTGAATGGGAAAAATACCCAGCCAAGAATACTTTATCCAGCAAGGCTGTCATTCAGCACAGGAGAGATTAAAGAGTTTCCCAGATAAACGAAAACTAAAGGAGTTCATGAATGATAAACCAGACCTACAAGAAATATTAAACGGGACTTTTTTGAGTGGGGAAGAAAGACCAAAAGCAACAGTGGGAAAGAAAGACCAAAAACACCAAAGACTAGAAAGGAGCAGAGAAAATCTCCAGAAACAATGACTCTACAGGTCATTAACTGCATATCTCCCAATAATCACTCTGAATGTAAATGGACTAAATGTTCCAAAAAAGAGAAACAGGGTATCAGAATGGATGAAAAACAAGACTCATCTATATACTTTCTATAAGAGACACATTTTAGACCCAAAGACACCTCCAGATTTAAAGTGAGGGGATGGAAAACCATGTATCATGCTAATGGACATCAGAGGAAAGCCAGAGTAGCAATACTTGTATCAGACAAACTAGATTCTAAAACAAAGACTATAACAAGAGATGAAGAAGGGCACTATATCATAATTAAAGGGTGTAACCATCAAGAAGATCTAACAACTGTAAATATTAATGCCCCCAACTTAGGATCCCCAAATACGTATAGCAATTAATAACAAACATAAACTCATTGATAACAATACAATAATAATAGAGCCTTGTTGGCACTAAGTAGTGTTTGGACTTTGTCCACTTAAATCAATGGACAAATTGTCTAAGCAGATCAACAAGGAAACAATGGCTTTGAATGACACAGAGAACCACATGTACTTAACAGATATATTCAGAATACTGTATCCTAAAGCAGCAGGATACACATTCTTCTTGAATGCACATGGAACATTCTCCAGAATAGATCACATACTGGGTCAAAAATCAACCCTCAACAAATACAAGAAGATTGAGATCACACCATGCATATTTTCAGACTACAAGATTATGAAACTTAAAGTCAACCACAAGAAAAAATTGGGAAAGACCACAAATACACAGAAGTTAAAGAACATCCTACTACAGAATGAATGGGTTAACCAGGAAATTAAAGGAGAAATAAAAAAAAATACATGGAAGCAATTGAAAATAAAAACATGACAGTCCAAAACCTTTGGGACGTAGCAAAGGCAGTCCTAAGAGGGAAATATATAATAATGCAGGTATTCCTCTAAGAAGCAAGAAAAATCTCAAATATACAACCTAACTTTACACCAAAAGAACCCAGAAAAGGAAGAGCAAATAAAGCCTAAACCAGCAGGAGAAGGGAAATAAAAAGATTAGAGCAGAAATAAATGATATAGAAACTTAAAAAAAAAAAAAAAAAAAAAAAAAAAAAAAGGGAAAAAAAATTAATGAAACCAGGATCTGCTTCTTTGAAATAACTAATAAAAAAGATAAACCCCTAGTCAGACTTACCAAAAACAAAAGAGAAAAGGTCCAATTAAATAAAATCACAAATGAGAGGGGAGAAATAACAACCAATTCCAAAGAAATACCAAAAAAGTGTAAGAGAATGTTGTGAAAAACTATATGCCAACAAACTGAACAACCTGGAAGAAATGGATAAACTCCCAGAAACTTACAAATTACCAAAACTGAAACAGGAAGAAACAGAAAACTTGAACAGACACATAACCAGCAAGGAAACTGAAGCAGTAATTACAAATCTCCCAACAAACAAAAATCCAGGCTTCCCAGGGGAATTCTACCAACATTTAAAGAAGGGTTAATACCTATTCTTCTCAAACTGTTCCAAAAAATAGAAAAAAGAGAAAACTTCCAAACTTACTCTC